AATGCAGAATCCCAGCCTGTCAAATCAGAAGCCATACTTTACCAAGGTCCCTGGGAGACTACCCTGCGTGTGACAATTTGAAACAACAGTGCCAAGATTATCTGTAGGTTTGAGCCTGGGGTCCAGAGGTCCCAGACCGATGGCCTCTGCAGTGCTAACTGACCACATGACCATGCGAATGTCATACGGTCTCCAAAACATACCTTCCTCCCCATCTTAGTCACTTTCCTCCTTGCTGAGACAAAATGCCCAACACTTGCAACCTAAAAGAGAAGGATTTATTTTGGCTCATTTTCAGTCCATGGCCAGCCGGCTCCAAGGCAGGAGGCCATGGCAGAGGGGCCTGGCGGCAGAGAGCTGCCTGCAGCATGGGGGACAGGAAGCCGAGAGAGAAAGGAGGGGATGGGGCGGGGAGGAACCTTCCAGGCCACGCCCCTGTGAGCGCCTCTTCCCGCCAGGCCCTATCTCCTGCCAGCGAGTGGGGAGGAGCCCCAGGATCCAGCGACCTTCTACAGAGCCTCCCTATGAGTGCAGGCGGCTTTGGGGGACATCTGGACCCAACCCATAGCACTCCCCAACGGCACAGGTGAGCTCAGTGACTCCCTGGGTCTGGACCTGCCCGAGAGGTCCCATTCTGTTCTTTTGCTCCCCTGGGTGGAGAAGGCGTCCTCTTCACCTCCTCGGAAAGACATCTCCTGTTTGTTCCCCCTCGAAGGGAACTGTTTGGTTATCTCCAAATAACTCATCCCCGCTTTTCTGTTCACCTGTGTGGAGAACCCTCCACGTCGTTTGAGTTGATGCATCCTTTTTCTTCCCGATCTTGGGAACTGAACCCAGGGTCTTCACAGTGAGCTGCATCCCTAGATCTCTTTTACTTGGAGACAGGGTCTTGCCAAGGGTCACCTGACACAAGCGTCCTTCTGGGACCCACCTCCAGGGAAACCACAGCTCCTTGTATCATTCAGGGACAGGAAGTGGATGAACTAAATCAACTCACCTGGGAGACAAATAACACCTATCATCGTCAAATCTATAAGAGCTCATGGATACAACAAAATGAGGGTGTAGTTGTTTTTCTAAACTTCCAGTATGTCAGATTATTTCTACTTTAATCATTTCTCTCCATTTCGTTAAGGCAGAGAAAAACTTCCATCATATAAACTGTCAAAGGGTAAGAGCTACATTTTCTCTCTGTCAATGCTACTTCAAAGGTGCTCCCAGCAGTTGGCACCCCTCGAACCTGTCCTTAAACAGAAACTGCTTCACAGGGTCCCTAGATGTCTCCACCAGCACAGCGCCACCCCACCCCACCCACACCCTACCAGCTGCCGCTCCTGCTCGTCTGCTGCCACAGCCTACACCTCTTAAAAAACTCCCTGAAAACTAGAATAATGGAGCTTTGGAAGTCGTCAGTGACAATTTTATTTAAGCCTTGAAAATCTGTCACTTCAAAAAAATTCTAATGGTTTTCTAATGAAAACAGGGATGACTGTGACTCACAGATGGCTTCCTCTCATGGGTCAGCGTGACATTAGCATTGCAGTCTCAGATGAGAACACAGGAAGAGAGCTCCGTGAGAGAGTGCGGCCACCTCTCCTGGCTACTTCCAGGCGGGGATGCCACTGAAATCAAGGGCACGCGGGCTCTGAGCCCTGGTTGGCTCAGGAGCATCTTTGCTTGTAGGGCTCCACGTGGTGCTCCACATGGTCACGTGGGCGTGGCCACCCCATGGGGCAAAGGCTATGGCAGTGGGCTTTCCCAACTCTGTTGTGAACACAGTGGAGGTCCCAGGGCCTCTGGACCACACGTTGTCCTGCCTGGGTCTTTGGCTACAGGAAGAGTCTCAGGTTTGCATCTTCATGAATCCCCAGAACCAGTAGAGCCAGAGGACTAATTTCCTCCAAGGAAGAGGAAACATTTGCCACCCACAAGGCATCTTTAAAAGGTCAGAAAGAGACAGGAGAAGCACATTCAGTGCTCTGTTCAGCGGGTGGCTACACATGGTGGGAAAGCACTTTGTCTCGTCTTCAAGCTGGAGTAAGGGTTGTGAATGTTTTCACTACAAAGAAGTGATACGTTTGAGGTAACAGATATGCTCACCCTGACTTATTAGACAATGTATACAATGTATCAAAACATATAATACCATGTAATGATCAAAATATGCAGTGATTGCTTAAATTAAAAAATTATTACAGTGAAAGACATGGTGCCATCGATTCCTCTTAGACCATTCCTCCTTACTTCAAACACGTTTATCTCACCATTCTTGGCACTTTCTGAAGCAGCTCTGGAAGTCCTCTTTCATGAGTGTCTTCGTGAGGTATGATCAAAAACATGGTGAGTTCTGCTGCCTCGGCCATCCAACAGGAAGGTGGGCTCTTGAAACATTATGCTGTGTCGCCTCGCCCACCTTACCCGATCTGGCTCCGTGCAACTTCTGGCTCCTTACCAAGTTCAAAAGTAACCAATAAACATTTTGAATCAATTCAGAACATCTGGGCAGCCAGGACAGCACCTCCAGAGCTGCTGCAGAACGTGGCGAGGAGGATGGGATGAGCGAGATTGAAGAGACAGAAAGGGTTTTGAGGGGAACTGGTGGGACTGGGCCTTTAATGTTATTAAATTTTTATTCACTGTATTTTACAATCACACCTCATACTTTTCATGTATCAACTTCGACACCACAAAAATAATAAAAACAAGTCAGATGAATGCTAAAACTTCCAAAGAGCATCCCAAATATTGCCAGTCCACAAATAAATAGTACAAAATAATAGAGTGAAGTGGCCCATGGAGGCCTGTGAGGCACTCGAGGGTGCACAGCGTTGGCCGAAGCCTCAAGATGGAAAGGTAGCGCCATACCCTGCGCGTGCCTTCAGACTCGCAGGCCCGGCCATCCTCATCTCTGGAGAGCTGGGTGGGGCAGATTCTGGAGCACAGCAGCCCGGAGCCCCGGGGCTCTCCTCCCCCAGCCCCTGCCAAGTGCTTCCTATCCTGCTGCCTCCTTGTCCAGCCCTGGGCCCCAGGACCCTGCTCACCTCCTTCCAGGCATCCGGCACATCCCTGGGCCTGGGGTCCCGGTGCAGGGGACCAAGCACAGCCAGCTCTGCTCTCCTTCCCTCTGCTGAGCCCCAGATGGGAACCACAGCTCCGAGGCTTCTCGTGGGGGCCAGGCAAGGGTCCCCTGAACTCCGCTTCCCAGCCTATGGACCATGTGCACCCCACTTCTTTCTCATCTGCCCTCCGCAGGCTGCCCCACCCCTGCCATGTTGGATTTCGGGTTGTGGGATGAGCCCGGGCCCTGATGGGCTCCCTTCCCCCCACGCACCTTACTTCATCTCGAAGGTCCCTCCTCTGTCCCCTGAGCCATCTTACCCAAAACTTCACCACTCTTCTTCATCTGATTTCCTTTCCCTAATCTGAATCCTTCTCTGGTGTCTCTCCCATGGGTGCATTTCAAAGACAGAGGCCCGCATTCTGCAGAACATGGAGTCTATCCAGTGGACTAGATAGACTGCAGTGTCCCACCGTAAGAGGAATGGTGTCATCCACGGGGTCCTGGAGAGCGCACAAGGAAGGCGTCTCTGCTGCCCACTGGCTGTGGAGAAGGAGCTCTCACCGTCTGGGGACAGAGCTGAGTGTTGCTGCAGCCAGGAAGGGCACGGGAGTGGCTGGCAAGTGACAGGGCAGCTGCTGCTCCAAGCCCAGCTGCTCCCTGCTTGTCCGGCCTGCCTGGCCAGCTGCTGCCCAGAGCTCAGCCCGCAGTCCTCTCGACAGACAGTTCAGCAGGTACTTCATCAAATTCAAAACAAACCTCAAAAGCGGGCCTGATAAAATTGAGACTTGATCCTCCATAAATCTTCCAGCAAATCCCAATGGCTCTGCAGGGAAACGTCCACATTTTTCCTGAAATGGCCCTCGTGGTATGGCCACCACTTCCGCAGGAAGCCCCTTCTCTCCCAGTGTCCACACAGCTGCAGCCAGGGTTTGTCCTGTTCTGGCCTGGCCTTTCACACGCTCGTTTCTCTGCCCCTCCAAGACGTCTGCCTGTCTGCTTCCCACCTAGTAGTGTTTGTCTCAGACGCCAGGGCAAGACTATGAACATACCGCAGGCGGTATTTTCCTTCCTTAACAGACGATCAATTCCAGGCTTCCTCAGCAGTTCCCGTTAGGGTGCAGCAGGCTCCTCTACAGCCTTCCTGTCCGCTTCCCTGTGTGTGTGGTGGGGGGTCAGGCATTTAGAAAATAAGCTCAACACCCAAGAAAGTGATTTTAAAGGTGTACAGATGGCGCTTACTACTCTGGTTTTTAGAAGTGTTCCTTAGCAGCTCTCTTCAGTAGTGTGACTTAGATAAGCTGGGTGCCTCTAGAACTCGCAGAGAAGCTGACTTGGGATCTTGCTAAAACTTACTGCTTTTTAAATTCTGGAGATGCATGTCCATGGCAAACACCGGGGAGGCAGGTTCCCAGGGGTCACTTGGAGACATTTTTCCTTTGGTGCCGAAGTTTGGTCTCTGCTTGTGTATAAAGATCCCATTTATAGTAAGATGTGCTGTCACAGCAAACGTCATTGACATGAAACCCCTGGAGTGCCAGGCTGCTGTTGGGTTTCCCTCTGTCTGGGGGTTCGTTCTCCTTTGCGCAGGTTCAGTGTTCCTGTCTGAGTGCTCAGAGAGAAGAAAGGAATGGAAGGGGAGGTGAGGGGGTGGCCGAGGCTTTCTCTTCAGGCAGAGCAGGGCTGGGTCTGCACTGCGCTAGCTCAGCAGCACTGCACACCGCTGACAGTGTGGACACGGCCCACCAGCCTGCGTGTTGGAACAGCACCTTCAGAATTTTCATGAAATAGAACGGTGTTTGAAAAGAAAGAAGAGAAAGTGTAATGAACCCTGTCAGTTTGCTTCTTGGAGTCACGTCCTGGAAATGTCCCTGGTCCGGCCCCTCCCATTATCCTCTGGCAACTTCTTGATGCCAACTCTTCCCTGCTGCTTGCGTTGCAGATCGGCCTCCGAAAGGTATTTCTGAAACACTGGCAGGCGGACCAGCTCAGTGACCTGTGCCTGCAGCTGCAGAGAAAGATCGTGACCTGCCAGAAAGGTAACTGCACACCAGTGCTTTGGACATTTTAGGGCTCATTTCTCACAGCCAGTGTTTGAGTGTCAGTGGGGTCAGCATCACGGCCAACTGCCCTGTTCATCTCCAGGACTGTGCTGGAGCCGCCTGTGCGGGGTGTGTAGGAAACCCTCCCCAGTGTGCTGCATACCTGTCTTTCTGTCACCTTCGTAGGCACTGCTCGCCCTTCATTGGGTAGATTCCGCACGGAATTTTACACTAAAAGGTCAACTGAGTCATGTTGTAAGAGGGAATCCACACACCGTATTTATGCATGCCGTACCTTGCAAATACTCAGGCTTATGGATCCTTTTAGGAAGAACATGACATTAAGATAGTTTGTGCCTTGGGATCTGCAGCCAGGAGGAACTCCCCACTGGCACTGCGGTGCGGGGATGGTGCCATTTTGCAGAGCCCTCCCGGCAGTGCCCCCAAATGGCCAGAGTTTGGTGAGAGGGTGAGCCAATTAGCCGAACACCGTTTCCATAACGGTCCCTATGCCTTGGGGAGATCCTCGAACTTACTGTCCTTAATGAAACAATGACACTGTTTGCAGTAATGTCTTTGGTCGTTGATAGCATGGTTTTCACCGTAGCTTTGCATGAGATTCCATTTAGATTGTGTTTTTTCTGTCGAAATCCAAGTGGCTGTGAATAAAGGATGCATTTCAAAACAACTATACCTCACAGAAAGTATGTATCACTAGTAGATTTTTAAATTTTCAGGTTGCCTACTAGTTTTATTCCTCACAGAAAGGCCGGAGAAGGAGAAGGCAGTCTGTGTGCTGGCTTTTGGTGTGACTCACAAGGTGCAATCAGAACGTACCACGAAAGCGTGAATAGAGCCTTCTTTAAGGTGAAAGACACATCATCATTATCCCAGTCTCACTTCAGAACGCTCATCCCATCCTTCTTGCCGCTTTCTGAAGCAGTCCTAGGAGTCCTCATGGCGAGTGTCTTAGGAGATGTGACGAAAAATGTGCTGAACGCTGCTGCCCCGTGGGAAGGCAAACTGCCGAATACATTATGGTGTTGTCCTCGCCCGGCTTCCTCACCGGATTGGCCCTGAGCAACTTCTGGTTTTCCTCCACAGTCAAAATGTCCATGAAAGGTCCATGGTTTAAATTAATTCGGGACATTGAGGCAGCCAGGGCAATGCAACTAAAGACCTCAGGAAGGAGGACTCCAGAGCTGCTGCAGGAAGCACTGAGGACCATGGGATGAGTGTGTTCGAAGCCAGGGGAGGATCCTGACAAGGACTCATGGCAATGTGTCTTTTACTATAGTACTTTAAAAATAAAAATAAAACTGAACAATTCACTGTATTCTTTGATCACTCAGTGTATAAAGAGCTTAGCTCTGATAGATTTGAAACTCTTCTTCTAACAAGGGAGCCTGATAGCTTGCCGATTTCAGTTTCATTTTTCTCAACCTTCTCTTTCCCCCTGGACTCCCGTGACTGTGGCCCAGTGAGTTCTCTGCTGTAACGCGGCATCCCCCGCGAGTCTGTTCAGAATTGAATACATCCAGTAACAGCCAAAGTGTAAGACCTCGTTCCCAGCTAGCGAATGGCTCTTGGCCATCACAGGCCTGTCCCATACCGAGAGTTCCCCGGGGCAGAGGCTGGGCCTCGTCTCTCAGGGGACCCCTGAGTCCCCAGGGCCGAGGAGGAAGGACAGACGAGGAGGGGACAGTCTCCCACTGGCAGGCTCTGGCACCAGGCTCTGGCAGGGCCGATTCTGCTGGCCTTGTGCAGAGTCCAGGACTCCTCCGTCACCACCGTGCTGACAGGAAGTGCTGGCCCCATCACATGGCCCTCAGACCCTGCATCCTCTGCCCTGTGCCTCAGCAGACGCCTCTTGAGACCACATCTGTGCCGAGAGACAGACTCAACTCCTCCTGGGTTCGGGATGCATCTTCCTTCTGCCTGCACCCGGAACCTGTAGCTGCACCCCTCATCCATGCAGGAGAGCTGCTGGGCCATGGTCGGCTCCGGACCCCCCTTTGCACCCCCATGGGTCAGATCTGCCCTGCCCAACCCCGGCGTTCCTGAGCCCCCACCTCCCTGGTGTTGGTTAGAACCGCAGACCCGGCCCCGCCGCACACTGCTGGAGTCTGAAGTCACACCCACAGCTGAGCCTGGGCCCGGGAGATTGGCAATGAAGATAGCGCATGTGCAGAGGAAACAGGGCACCCAGCTCCCCAGAAATCTCCTCAAATTTAACGAGAGGCATTGGGCTCCTCTTCCATCAGGGACCCCGGGAATTTCTCTTCCATTTACCTGCAAAGATTAACTTGCTGCCCACAGCGGAAGAAATACAGAGAATGCTAACTCTCTGGCCAGCTTTTTAATATAAAGATTGAGAACAATCTTGAAAACAGTGTTGTGATAAAAACTGTAATTTCCTATACTGCATAAATGAAATAATGGATATGAAAGCATTTTGAATATTGCAGGCTCTTAAGTGCAAAGCATCAATTATGGATTTCTCTTTTTCCGTACCTCAGAACAGCTCCCTCAATATTTTTTGCTGATAATAAATTTACTCAAAGTTTGTATAACCTGGGGTGTTTTCCAGTTTTCAAAGAGTTCCTTTTTTTTCTCTTCGTAAGTATTAAGGGAAAAGCAGCTGTAACTCTTAGTTGGAAGTGTAATCGTTGCAATTGTAGATGATCCTACAACCAGCCTTTCACTCACGTATGTTCATCAAACCTGGATGAATAAAGTCCGTAAGTGAAGATATCATTGTGATCGATGTCATAAAAGCAAGCTTCAGAAATTACCACAAGGGCAATGAGTATTGATATCTGTTGGTGGCACATTATTTTTATTGGTTGTCCTTTATTAAAGATACCAACTTTCAGCAGCTGGAGTGAGGGTTTTAAAGAAGTTCAGGAGGCTGCTAGCAGTAGACTCTGTGGGTGACTCCCAGGAATCCTTTGCCAAGCAGGAGGTCAGGAGAAGTTTGGCACCTGCAGTGCACGCTCAGCTTCATCTTCCAGAAGTCAGCTGTGTGGTTTTCTAGTGTAACGTGAGCGAGCAGGTGAACCGGCCACGCTGTAGTCTGGCTTCTCCTCCTGTGATGTGCCTGCCACATGTTCAGTGTGTCTGCAGCTTTCTCTTGGCTCTGTGTTCCCCGGGGCCTGGCTTCCCTTCTGCTATTTAGTGTTGCTGCTGTTAGAGTAGGTCAGAGTGACTGCTTGACAGTTAACTTTATGCATCTGCAACCCAAAGTGAACCCACATGTGGTTTCAGCATCTAAAAAAACAGCCCCAAACCAAGAAAACAAGGCCTGCGCTATTGGATGCCTGCGTAGTGGTTTCCTCTGAAGCTCTAATTGGAAACTTGTGCTGAGCTCTCCAAAAGGCAGCAGAGGCGTCTCTGATAGCCCACTATCTGTTCCTTTATAGTCATGGAGTATGTACGTCAAGCACTTAATGTTTTATAAATGTCTCCCTCTCACAGAGACAAGAGCAATGTATCCTTGCCACACACGGTGGTTTTCCCCCAAATTAGAGTTTCTTTCATCCACAACTCCCTGTAATCTTACAAACTCAGAGTTGGAGGTGATGGCGTCCCAGACTTCGAGGACACATCAGACCTCAGCAGCCAGCACCTGACTGGCAGCGGCCCCGAGAAGAGGCCCCGCTCCTCTGGCCCACGCTCAGGGACAAGCAGCTCCCTTCTCAGGAGGAAGCCAGCTCCGTGTCCACCCTGGCTCATGGCTCCAAGTCCTTCCTCCCATCGATCACGAGTGCGGCTGAGTCCCTGGCTGATGGTCTGTCCCCTGAGAGCTGCAGATCACATGGAGACCTGCAGTCTGAGGGAACGGAGCAGGCCTGGGAGGCCGGAGACTTGAATCCCGGCTCTGCCGCTCCATGGTTGGCTTCACCCAGGAGAATTAGTGACACCAAAATAATTCTGCTGTCACTGTGCCCAGAATAAAGGTGATCATTTATGTCATCATTTGGCCTCGACAATGAACAATGTAATAGACTGCATAACACATGCAAGTGCCTTTGAGAATTGGTCTTTTACTTTTAAGGTCAGTTTTCACACTTGGTGCTCACGTATTACTGGTTTCAGAGCATATGCATGCACATTTCCCTGACTTTTGCACATTTTCCTAGGTTTCCTTTCCTGACTAGCAGGCAACATATCCTATATTTCTACAACATCTCTCTAGTCTTCGATGCAGTGTTTATTTCTGTGGGAATTAAATCAGAGTCCTAGCAATAAGATATGCATGATACTTCCAAGACCAACTCCACGAACCTTAGCTGTGTCCAGCATACTCTGAGATAACGAAAGACAATCATTGCTGCCCCAGATGGGAGCCACACCCAAAACTCTCAGGTTTGGAGCTGGTTCTTTCCCATCCCGTCGGATTAACACCAGGCCATCTGTGTCCAGCTTGTTCCCAAAGTAAGTGAAGGTGGCCCTGTGACCAGACCACCCCAGGGCTGGCCAGGCCAGGGATGTCACCTGTCATGTCGCCATTGCTGAAGTCAGAGATTTTCTTAACATGAGAATGCAGGGTTTTGGTAAACTGTGACTGGGGCCTAAATGTTCGTATCTTGGTGCATAGCTACAAGTTCTGTGTGCATGTCTGGCTTTGCCCCCTTGTCCTCCGTTCTCTAATGCACCATTGTGTTCTTTTGTGAAGTTGTAAGAGGGTTTCTAGCCCGCCAGAGCCTGATCCAGAAAGTGAGTGCTAAGCAGCAGGAGGTGTCGCAAATCCGGAGCTTCCTGCAGAACACCGAGGACCTGGCGCTCCAGACCTACGATGCCCTGGTCATCCAGAGCGCATCGGACATCGCCCGGGAGAACAACCAGCTCCAGACAGAAGTGAACGCTTCCTACCACAGAGACAAGGGAGAGGCCGCGGGCCAGCCTGAGGAAGGAGCCAAAAGGTAAAAGCAGAGCACCTGCAGCTCTGGTTACCTGTGCAACTCTCTTGGGGCTGTCTGGGGACCTGGAGGCTGGTGCTTCCAAGTTCGGTCACACTGGACAGCGGTTATGGAACGGGCATGCGGGTGTGACTTGAAACTCACTAGCAATCTAGGAAATGCTTTCCTCTGCTTCCTTCTCCTGAGTTAAATGCTGCATGTGCCAGTTTAGTTGCATAAATAATTACTGCTTCCCCTGCTACTGTGCTTTTGTCCCTAAGTAGCTGGAGCTCCCTCAAACCTTTTACAGCCCCTCTGTTTCTGTGATAGGGAAAACACAGTGCCGGATCTTTGACCCTGTTATGCAAATGTGATGCATAGAAAGCTAACTGCTAGCGACTTCTGGAAATCAGACCAAAGAGTCAAGATACCACTGTGAACCATAAAAGTAGTGAAGTCAGTAAATGGATTGTGCCCAGGCATGGTGGCTCCTGCCTGCAACCCCAGCCCTCTGGGAGGCTGAGGCAGGAGGATCACAAGTTCCAGCCCAGCCTGGGCAGCTTTAATGAGATTGTGTCTCAAAATAAAAAATTACAAACTGGGCTGGAGACGTAGCTCAGTGCAAAAGCCCTGGGTTTACTGTCCAGAACCACACACACACACACACACACACACACACACACACACACACAGGATTGCACATATTCTGTTTTCCTGTGTAAGTGGTTACATTTTCCTTGCCAATATAGAAAGCTACAGAAAATAAAAAGCTTTTCAAGTAAAGCTCACTTGGGATGCTTAGCCTGAAACAGAAACACGGGACACCCAGGGCAATTCCCCCTCCACCATTTCCTCCAAGACGGATGGGAGAGCCACTGCCCACCCAGGGAGCTGGGCAGGAGCCTGACTCCCTCACCGGTCACTGCCTGGTTGGGTTGCGCATTTTCCCCAGGAACTAGCAGGGCCTCATTTCTCTCTGAAAACCACGCTTCTTTGCCACGATTGCCTATGTCAAATGATTTCTCTGTTGTTAAAGGGGAAATGGGAATTGTGTCCCTTGCTAATTAGCTTCAAATGTCTCAGTGATTAAATGCTGGGAAAAATTCCCTTTGTAGGAAAAACTGTAATTAAACATTACAGGGAAAACAAATCTCTGCAGAATGCCATGCATCTTCAGCGACTTCATTTTCTACATGGACGACAGGGTCTGCCGGTGGCGGATGCGGCCCTGCTGGGGCCCTGCACGGCAAGATGTAATTATAAAGCTAGGGCAGGAGACTCTTCACACTGGGGCATTGGCGTCTTGCTAGTATATGATTACTTTGACATGTGAAGCTCAGAGGAACTTTTTGCAGCAGATAACTACTCATTTTAAGCGGCTTCCAGAGTAATATTTATTATTTTCTCTGCTGGAACTAAGCAGTCACCCCAATTTCTCAATTTCATTATGTATTTATCTGCCTGATAGAAAATTAAGTGAAGAAGCGTTTGTCTGTTTATTTGTTGAATACCAGCAGTTTGCTCGACACCAGGAACCCAGATGGAGTCACGGGAAAAATAATAGTTTTGCACATAATTAAATAATTGCTGACGGAATTTAAATGGCAAGGAAGGGGGAGGGCGAGAGACTTTGAACATGTGAGGCTTTGGTAGTTCTGAGCGGCATATGTGCTCGTTTTGCAAAGGCAAGTTGTATGAACTCGAGCACTGGGGGCGTCCGCGACTCCATTAGGCTGGATTTCCCCGAGGTTATCGCTCAGACTGCAATTTTGACTTTTGGATTAGCCTAAGAACTGGAGTGTGAGCCCCGACTCTGGGTGCCTGCAGGAAAGGGGACGCCTCTTCGGGAGTTCGGGCCTGGGAGGATTGCGGAGGAGAGCCCAGAGTGTCCATGCGCCCCTGCCCCGAGAGCAGGGCGCGGCCAGGCTTCCCGGCAGCTGCCCGCACTCCCAGCCCCGCGCCACCGAGGGCTGCTCCCGGCTGTCCCCGAGTAACCATCTCGGCCTCTGCTCTGTGCTGTCTGTGTTGTTTCCCCCAAGAGCTGAGGACCAGGCCGGGCCCTGGCTTGTGCACGCCAGCTCCGTCCCAGTCCCGGTGGCAGCGGACAGCCTGGCCCAGGCCCTCGCTGGACAGTCCACCCGCCCTCCCCCCTTGCACACCACCTTCAGCGTGGATGACAGCAGCGGCTTCCCGTCACCACGGAAACAGCCTCCGCCCAAGCCCAAGAGGGACCCCAGCACCCGGCTGAGCGCCTCTTATGAGGCCGTGAGCGCCTGCCTGTCCGCGGCCAAGGACCCGGCCTGCGAAGGTGAGCCAGGGCCCCGGAGCTGCGGGTGTCGGGCTCCTGAGGGTCCAAATTCCAATCTGGGGTGGCCTCGGATGTGCTTAGTACAGATAAACCCGACTGCTGCCTGGGCAGCAGCCCTGTAATCCCTAAATATAAACATTGTTCATTCAGATCTCCCAGCCTCTTAGGGAAAAGCCCCTCAGGTGCCCTCCCGACTGGAGCCCTCCCCTGCCGTGAGTCGGCAGCCTCGAAGCAGATGTGATGTGCAGGGTTGGTCACCGGTCCATGTAAAATCTCACTAATTAAAAGTTTTAAAAAATCCATCGGGCTTGCCTGTGATCACGGTCTAATTGAAAACAGAGCTTGCTTCTTCATGGGGTAAATGAAGTGCTTCACACGCAGGAGAATCGCTGCAACCAATTTAATTGGCAGAATTTGGGGGCTGGATAACAAGGCTGTACCTGCACGGTGTACAGATATGTGGGAAAGAGATCCCACAGGGAGCAGTTTATTCCCCATCCCGTCCCTCCACCGTTACCACAGAGGCTGTAACTGATGCTTAATTGTGAACGGTTAGTTATTGTTCTCATAGACACACGTTTAGTCCGTAACAGTCACATTCGCTGGGTGGGGTCGGTGCGTGTGCCACACGCATCTCAGTGCCTTTTGCGTCCCCTTCCCCCCCATTCATCTCCTGGGCCCTGTCCCCGTTTGCAAAAGATCCATCTCCGTTTGCTATTGTCTGTCTTTTATTTTGCTCTTTCATGTAGTTATACTTTGGGTTTCTGGTATAAGAATCCATGTGATATTTAATCTTGTGTTTTTTGATTTGTACAAGCACTAAGGAAATCAGTATGGAGATTCCTCAAAAAAGTAAAACTGAAAATTCCAGTAGAATGACAGACGTCATTTTGCAGTGATCTGTGCGCACTCACGTCTGTAGCAGCACAGCTCCTAAAGCGAAATCTGGGAAGCAGCCTGTGTGCCCATCCGCAGAAGGGTGGGTTTAGGAATATGATAGTCTCACACAATGGAGCACTACTCTGCTCTAAAGAGGGGTAAACATGAGTCATTTGTAGGAAACGGATGTGCCTCGAGACTATGATGTTAATTATTAATTTTTAGAATTGTGAAAAGCAAAATGCTCTAAGCAGAACATTTGCACATTTTAATAATTTATTATCTCATGTGTGTTAGGCCCTGCTGTGTGTGTGTGTGTGTGTGTGTGTGTGTGTGTGTGATATCAAAGGCCACAGCCCTGAGGTTGAGATTTGGGGGTGATCGCATGCACACAGTCACAGTGCTGTGAAAGAAGATGACCCCACTAGGGAGATGGTTGCACCCAAGATAAAATGGAACTTAGGCTCCATTGTGAAGTCTTAGGAGGCAAGAACTCTGTATGAAGGCAAATGTCTGGCACGGTGCCCACCCTCCATCCTAGCTAGCAATTCCAGAGGCTGAGGCAGGAAAGTCACAAGCCTGAGCAAGAGAGGAGACACGGCCTCAAAACCAAGACAACAGAAAAAGGCAAAATGACAATCAAAAAAATAAAGCACAATCACAGGTTTAAAACTTTCAGTTCATTACTACCATTCATGCAACGTCACGCAAGCCCATTGGACCTGGAAGAGGTTTATGAAAACTTGGGTTTCTTGGAACCTGCTTCCACTCCCACGTGGCCACCCGGTGCTGCCCTGGGGCGGCTCCCACCCCAGTGAGCAGCCTGGAAGCTGATGAAAGGCTGAGCTGTTCACTGTTTACTTTCCACACTGGCTACCTGGCAGGCCCTTTCTTAGCACACATGGTTTCTAGTACTGGCTACTTTGTGACCCCCAAACAACGTCTTGGTCTCCTGAAGATGAGTTTCTGCTTTTCGGGACATGTTCCAAATCCACTTTTACAAATAAGAAAATTAAACCACTTGAGCAGTTCAGGTCTTGGAGCTTCCCGGAGTCAGAGTGAGCTGCCGGGGTTGGTGTTCCGGATTTCTAGTCTGTGGTCACAAAGATAGCTACACTGCATCGATGAGCCAGCTGTTAGCCGCCTCTCCGCCCCACCCACGCCACTGGGACTAGAGCCTAAGAGCCAGTTGGGACAGTGGGCAGGGCTTGGCCCTGGGCTTCAGGCCCCCGGGCTAAAGCACCAGCTGGACCTCCCGGCTGGTGTTGCAGTAGTGACAATCCATGCCGTCTCATGTGCTTCTTGTTCATGTTGGCCTTTGTTCTTCTGTGTAGTGTCTACTCTTTGCACTTGCCTGCTTTTTTATTGGGTCTTTTATTTGGGGGTGTCCCATTGTTTTTTAGTTCTTTATGTATTCTAGATAGTATGCTTCTGAGTAACAGCTGGCAAAGATTTTTAAGGAACCCTTCTGCATTGTTGGTGGGAACATAAACTAGTACAGCCACTGTGGGAATCAGTACAGAGTTCTCAAAAAGCCAAAACTAGAAATTCCATGCAACCCGGCTAGTCCCTTTCTAGATATCTTCCTGAAAGAGCTAAAAGACATCACATTACAGTGATGCAGGCACACCCGCCTGCACAGCAGCACAACTCATAATAGCTGCATCTTGGAAGTGGCCCGTATGTCCATCAATAGATGAACCAGTAGAGAAAAAGTGGTGTTTACACACAGTGGAGTACTCCTCTGCCATAAAAAAGGATGAACCTGAGTTATTCCTAGGAAAATGGATCCACTTTGAGACCATAATGTTAAGTGAAATCCGTCAGACGCACAGCTTAAATACTGCAGTTTCTCTTATATGAGAAACCCTAAATAAAGAGCAAAATAAAGGACAAGTCATAGGCAGTAAGGTGACGGGTCTTTTGCAGAAGGGAGGGAGAGGGAGGACGGGGATGCTCACAGGATGAGGGCCTCTTCTGTGCGCACAGCAACCCGCAAGGCCTGTCGTCGTCGTCACGTGCCCCAAACAAGCCCCCAAACAAAATCAAATAGCGTAGGCGGCACGCGTGCTCCTCCGCGGTGGCACGTTCGCAGTGCGCAGCTGTCCTCGGTCGCCGTGAGTCCTCCCTGGCCGCGCCGACCCCACCCACGGCCCGGGTCCGCGAGAGCCGGTGCTGGGCTTTTTGCCCGTCAGTTTGCGGAACATCGTTTCTGTCCCTGCCCGGCCCGAGTGCGGCCGCTGCCCTGTGCGGAAGGAGCAGCCTCGTCCAGTGTCCTCGCTCCTGAGAGCTCAGGTCCCAGCCTTTTCTCGCCCTGCGGCGGAGGAAGCCACCTGGCTCCAGCCTTGGGGTCCCGCTTCCCCTGGAGAGACACCCAAGGGCGGCGCAAGGGCCTGCACCTCCAGAGCCGGGCTGCTGGTGACAGCAGGGCACAGCGAGGCCCGGAACCTGGGGTGAGCGTGCTCATCTGCGAATGGGGCGCAGCCCCGCGTGTGGAGGGTGGGATCTGACGCTGCCGAGCGGAGCAGGGCCTGCACGGGAGAAGGCAGACTTGCGGGTTTAGGGGGCCGCTCGAGCCCCGTTAGAGCTCTGGTATGCTCGTCCTCCTGCCAGGCCAGAAGCCCAAACCCTAAAGCTTAAAGAACCAGCTGGGTGCAGTGACACGCGCCTGAAATCCCGGCATTCTGGGAGGCTGAGCCAAGAGGATTGCAATTCTGAGCCCAGCCTGGACAACTCAGTGAATTAGTAAGACCCTGTCTCAGAAGTGTAATAAAATAACAAAGCCGGGCGTGGTGGTGCAGGCCTGTAATCGCAGCACTAGGGAGGCTGGGGCAGGAAGATCGTTGTGAGTTGGAGGCCAGCCTGGGCTACATAGAAAGACCCTGTCTCAAAAAACATACCAACAAACCATATAAAAGAGGGGGAGCTTGGGATGTAGCTACGCATAGGCCCTGGGTTCAATCCCCAGTGGCACCAATAAATAAGTGAATAAACAAACACCTGAACTATTTGTTAATGTCCCACTACTCGACTCAGCAGGAAAACAGGCTCTGCGCATAGATGCAGTAACAGTTGAGCTCTGTAGTTTACTTTGCAAGTCACATTGTTTCTTGAAAAAAAAAAACCTGTCTTCTTATAGTGTAGAACCGCATAGGTCACACAGCAAGGGCTCAAAACATAAGACCTTCCGAGCCATCACACCCTGCAGAGCCGCGCTTGCTCATGCCCTTTCCTACCCACAACTTCCCAAGGCTCTGGCACTCGGAGGCACAGCTGGCCAGCGGCCCAGGCCGCCCCGTGCTTCACCCTCCGCTGCTGTCAGCACAGGCCTGGCTGATTGCCCCTGGGTGCATCCATCCAACAAAGTGAGTTCTTGGCCAGGGCTGCTCAGAGAAGCGTGTGGCTGGCCATCGGAGGAGACCCGGTCGTGGCTCGAGGCCTCGGCCTTCTCCTGCAGGGACAAGCATGACTCGGCTCTGGCCTGGTTGGGAAGAGAAGCAGACAAGGAAGCAGAGACTGCAGAGTGGCAGCAGGAAGAGGACACAGAGGGGCACATGGCCCGGGCCGGGGACCCAGGAGGCAGGAGGATGACTGATGGGCGGCCGGAAGGAGCCAGGTCCTGAGCCTGCTGTGTCCCCACTGAGACCGAGCAGAGGACGAGGAAGAGTGGAGACAGATCTGGACGCAGACTGGCACGTCTCCCTGATGAACAAGCCCTATTCCCTCCTGGCTTTTCCGAGTGAATGGGCGGGCATCTGGGTGGACAGGGCCGAATAACACCGCCGGTGCAGCTGGCGACTTCAATGCCCCCCACGTGCTGCAGCGAAAACCCGAGAGGAGAGTGGTACGTGTGAGCAAAAGTCCGTCTCCTCACAGAGCTTAAACGGGACGCAGGGCCCAGAGTTCTCCGGGGAGCCCAGAGAGCAGTCTTTCTTTCTAAAGAAGCACTCAGGCAGCTCAGGCATGCAGAGGACTCCTACACTACCGTAGGAACCCCAAGACCTGTCCAAAGTGACTCCTGCTGCGGACTGTCTTCCTGGCTCCATTTCACTGATTAAATTGCCAGGTAGTTGCAAATATTTTATGCATAAACTTTGAAGCTTAAGAAGATTAAAAAAAACTTTAATCTCCGGGAGGCGGGGGTGGGAAGATCAGTCGGGAAGCTCAGTGACTTTATCGAGAATTTGTCTCTAAGTAGAAGCTAAAGAGGACAGGAATGGAGCTCAGTGTGAAGGCCCTTGGGTCACTAACCAGGACTCAGGACCCAGGAAAGGAGGGAGGGAGAGAAAAAGAAACACCTGTTCGTGGAGCCTCTGAATGAGTATTTGCAGGTGAACTTTTGCATGTGGTCAAAACCTGAAATGACCGCAGACCCACGCCAGCCTGTGACTCTCTAACTCGGGTTCTGCTTTCTATGTACGAAGAATGAGGACCTCCAGGTCTGACCTCTGATCCTGCCCCGGCCCTGGAGCCTCGCCGGGGGCTGGGACTTGCCCAGGGGATGGGGCGCATTCACTCCCGCAGGCTCGCCCTGGCCAGGTGTGAGGTGCGAGTCTGCGTCTTCACGCCTGCCTGTGAAGTGGACTCCCTGACCCCGTATGGAAGACACCGCCGAATCCCGAATCCCGAGCAGGGTGTGCCTGGCCCTTCGCAGGCAGCCTCCTGGCCCCTCGCAGCTTGGAGTGACCAACCTCTCACAGTGGCTTCACTTCCTGTGTCCAGCTCTGGGGTGGCAGGCTTATCTGAATGGTTCTCACTGAAGAACCTTTTCCATCTATCTATTGATCTATCTGCCTGTCTATCTGCCTGTCTGTCTGCCTATCCATTCATTTTTATGTTTTTTGAGACAGGGTCTCCCTATGTAGCCCAGTCTGGCCTCAAACTATGTGGCTCAGTCTAGCCTTGAATTCACTGCAATCCTCCTGGCTCAGCCTCCAGAGTGCTGGGATCACAGGCATGCGCCACCCTGCCACACTGGAGGGCCTTCCAGAGTGGGCTGGAGTCACCTGAAAGCCAGGCACCTGTGCATCTGCCACCCTCGGACTCCACGGCCCAGCCCTAGGCATCTGCGTGGCCAGGTGATGCCCCCTGGGCTGGGCACCACACAGCTCAGGCCCATGGAGCCAGGGCCCTGGGCACAGGAGCAGGGAGAGAGGAGGCGGGGCCGCAGTGCCACATCCTGGACCTCAGCGTCGGGTTGGGGAAGGGTCCCACCCCTTCCTAGGACTGGAAACACTGCTGGGGCCTACACTGTGGAGAGTGCCACCTGCCCCAGCCTACCCTCTGGGCAGAAGAATCCATGTCCCTCCCACAGCGGAATGCGCTCGCTTGCTCCCCTGAACTCCAGACATCCCCTTCCCGCAGGCCGCCTGTCTAGCCCTTCCGGCAAGACTGCACAGGCTGCTCGGTTGTCTGAGGGAGTGGGGGAACTCAGATCCCCCAGCCCCGCCCACCCCAGCCAGCCCATGGGAGGGACCGATGCAGGACAGAGGTCAAGGGCTCCACCAACAGGAGTGGGGGACCTGGGGCCAGGTGCGAGGCAGCCAGAGACTGGGGCTGGTGAGGGTGCGCTCGGGTTTGGACCTGACTTCGGGTCTGGAGTCCGGCTCCACCACTGAGCTGTCACCCCAGTCAACGGAGCTTCGGGGTCCGCCTGGCTGGAGTCGGCATAAGACTGAGGGCTGAGGCTTTGGATTTCTACTCCACCACCCCTCGCCCGGTCCTCACCTCTGTGCTCTGCTTCCCCTGTGAGCCCAGAGCCATCGTGGAGCCCGGCCGTGCTGCTGGGAACCGTCCCGGAGGTGACACCCAGGCCCTTCGGGGTCTCCATGAAGGGTGTCACCGGGCCACGGCTTCATCTCCAGACCACTGTTTCCGGCCAACGTCCAGCTGCCATCTGTGTTGTGGAACCTTCGTCCCAGCCTCTGCCTTTGGAGTCGCTCCTGTCTGGAAACCCCAGTCTGGGAAGCAGTGTGTGCCAGGCCCCGGGGCCCATACTCCATGGTGACGGTGGTGATGATGATGGTGACCTCCCGTCTCGGGCTTCCTGGTAGCCAGGGACAGTGCTCCTGGCCGATCCTGTGACCTAGAGGCCCCAGCCCTCCCCCGTCCAGACCCCGGTGGTGGAGGGAGGCGGAGCTGCACCGGTGGAACGGTGGCTGTGAGCACAGCTGCCCACTGGGGGTCGCTGCCCGCGGGGCTGGGGGCCTCGTAAGACCCTGCCTTGCAAAGACCGCCACTGAGGCACAAGGTGACTTCGAGGTTTCCACCCCCGATGGCTGCATCCCCCGAGCACCGCGGGCCCCAGCTGAGCTCTGCTCCCCAGGCAGCTGGCGGTGTCACCGTGTCCCAGCGAGGGTCATCAGTGACAGGTCCTCAGGGGTGGACGTGGTGGACCCTGGGGCCTCCACAAAGCATCCTCGGTGGCCTTGAAGGCCTGGGCTTGGCTGGGGTCCCTGGGGAGGGGCGCCGTGGGCCAAGCCCATCCCTGGCTCACTGAGCAACCCTGCTAACCATCCGCTCTGTCTTCCTGCTCCAGCTCTGACCCGGCCCAGGCCCCACAGCGATGACTACAGCACCATGAAGAAGATCCCCCCGAGAAAGCCAAAGAGAAGCCCCAACACCAAGCTCAGTGGCTCCTATGAGGAGATCTGGGGCCCGAGGCCCCCAGGCGTGGCTGGCCAGGTAGACGCACGCCACACCCCAGGGACCTCCAGTGCACCACGGACCTCGCCTCAGTGTGCTGCACAGCTGCCACTGCACCTGCCCTTGCCCCCAGGGGATGACGACTCCGAGCCAGTGTACATCGAGATGGTGGGGAACGCGGCCAGGCCCGGAGTCCCCGAGGCCGACAGCCCTGAGCAGGGGGAGTCGGTGTACGAGGAGATGAAGTACTTCTTGCCAGAGGAGGGCTCCTGGCTCCCGGGCCCGCGATCCGCATGCGACATCCCCGCACCCTTCCCCGACCTGCTTCCGCACCGGCCGCCGCTGCTGGTCTTCCCGCCGGCGCCGGCCACCAGTTCGCCGGCCTCAGACGAGTCCCCGCTGACGCCGCTGGAGGTGACCCGGCTGCCGGTGTTGGAGCCCAGCCGCAAGTACCCGGTGCAGGCCGAGCCCAGCAGCCCTGGCGGCCCGCAGCCCCGGCCCGCGTCCCCGGGCCTCGCCGCACCCTGCACACCGCCCACGCCTGGCAGAGCGGGGCCCGGGGCCGACCTGGCCAGGCCGCAGCCCAAGCCCGGGCCCAGGAGGGGCGCCCCCTACAGCCCCCCAAGCTGCCGGGCGCCCTGCAGCCCCCTGGACGAGCTCAGCAGCCTCTTCAACTCCGGCCGCAGCGTGCTGCGCAGGTCGGCGGCGGGGCGCAGGATTCGTGAGGACGGAGGTGAGTGGCCTGGCGCGCGTGCACAGCACCTGCCGTGTGCGTGAAGGGGCGGGCCTGGTCTGGACAGCAGGTGTGCCTGTGCATAGTTTGCGCCGTGTGCACAGTTACACTGTGTGCACGGCCTGTGGGTATGAGCCTGTGCTTTCGTGCTGCACATGTGCATGCACGTGTGCTTGGTCTAAACCACGTGCACGTGCACGTTGCGTCCGGTGCGATTCCAGTTGCAGGCGCAGGCCGGGAGCAGGTAACCGAGGTAAAGCAAGTCTCCTGCAGCCCCTGCAGCTAAGGAGGCGGGAGCGCGGCTCCCCTCGGTGCAGTGCAAGGCATCAGTCTTGGTGTGAAGACTTCGAGAACTGAGCTAACGCATTAGTGTGATTCGTGCTAGAGCAGAGGTATTTTAGCTACGTTTACTTCTCCTGCATTTCCTTATAATGTGGAGATTGTGCCTTGTGGGAGGCGACACTGCAGGTACCCCACCCTGTGACCCCGGGTCTTCACCGCTGCAGTCACGCTCAGACACAGCTGCCGCTCACCCTGAGCTCCCTCCTGGCAGCCACAGCGCTGTTGTCTGGCTGGGGTGCAGCACTGGGCCGGAGGCGTCCACACGCTCCACAATGGTACCTGCAGCCTGAGGCGGCTGCACAGCTGAAGAAGCATTCATTTTCCACCCCTGTAGTTGCAGAATGCAGCAGGCCCGAGGAAAGAGTTTCTGGGCAGGGATCTTTGCCTCCGAGGAGGCTGGCCGAAGGTTAGCCGCGCTGCGTTGCTCAGTTCCCCTTGATGAGCACACAGCCCGTGGGCATTTAAAAAATATGTATTTAAGGCTTTTATACAAAATCAAAATACCACACTGCTGTGCCCATGTGTGGAGAAGCAGACAGTGAGGTAAGGCGTCTTCCTGGTAAGGGAAACCGTGACAGTCGGGTGACACTGGCAGTTGCACGTGTCTGCTCTTCTCGGCCAGGAGACACTTCCGGCTGCAGAGGTTGAATAACTTTCAGAGGCTTGGAGCTAGGACCAGAAATACAAGTTTGACCTGTGCTTTACCATTATGCACACATTAACCTCTTTTTCTTCAAAAGGAAATGCATAAACATGTTACCTTTCATCATCCAATTAGGAAATTAATTTAGGTACAAAAACTAGAAAATTCAGGAAGCAGCTGAAACAAGGGCGAACAGCTGCCTAACCAGTCCTCCGCCTCCTCTGGAGCGTGTGAGCTCACTGTTTGTTTACCTGACCATTTCTTCTTATTACACGTCATTAATAAATGCAATTAGACTTGGAAGTAGCAGACTGAATTTCACAAGTTATATTTTATTCCAAGGGCCAAAATGGAATCTAAGAGAAAAATCATTAAACAAATTGATTTTGGAACTAAAAGTTGATTAAAATCCCATAAACCTCATTTTACTATAGATCGTAATCTGGTGCCTTCTCCTTAATTCGGCTGCATTTGAGGACAGAAAGTTAATGAACTTCTAGCAGAGCTGTCACATTTGGAAATCCCCAAGCCTAGCACGCAGAGGAAAGTGAGAGTTGTTGAGGCCATCAGGCACAGTGTCTACACTTGCTGATTGCATTTGCCCACAGTGACCTTAACAGCAGGACCTCGAGTACTTGGACCCCAAAATTACAAGACATGTCTTTTTCTGTTGTGGGCTTTTACAAAACACTCTGTAATTTGGAAAGACTGGTTTGCACCATTTTTCACTTCAGCTGTGATGATGGAAAACTTGGCACCGTGAGAACAGTCATCATCCCCATGCAGATCCGGGAATCCCAAACGCACTCTTTAGATGGTGGGAGGGAATGAGATTGTAAGTTTTCATGATGGCATGTTCTCAGAAGACAGCACACATTAATCCTTTGGAATGTACAAGGAGGGAAGGAAAGATATGGAAGGAAAATTTAATGGCAGCCCTATGTACTAGAGCTGCTTATATGATTATTAAGGTTTACACAGTTTGATCCTAGGGTGAGTAATCCATTTTCCTCTAAATTAATTGAATGGCTGATTTACTGTAGCCTTGGGATTTCCCCCTTTTAAAGTTTTTAATCTTCTACTTTACCCTCTTTATATTTAAAGGCATTTTATCTTCACCTGAAATAGCTTACTTACCAAATACTCCAGTGTGGCTAAGTCAGCCCCCAGGCACTTAAATTAATTACAACTCCTTTCTTGCACCCTTGTGTGTGGGGAAATTGTTCTACAGATTTGGCACAAGCTTCCCAATGCCCACCTTGCCTCCTTGGAACAATGATGTTGAAAAGCCTGACCCTCCCATTAATCCCAGGCATCAGTATTTCCTGTTCGAATAGAACGCGCAGTAGCGGGTGGTGGGAGAGGAAGTTCTCTCGTGGATAATTCTCCCATGCAGTTCCAGAGACTCGTGTAGGATTTCACAGATATTGTGCTCCTCAAAGCTGTCCCACTTCCACAGACTCTTTGGCCATGTCATTTGAGGCATACAAACTCACCACCAATTCTAATGTCCAGAACACAGATACAGAAAACAATGGGTGCTAATACATGTGTGACTGTGGTCTGCAAAGAATAACACTAGCAGCACAGAATGGCTGTGCTGTATCATGTTCCAGGCAGTTTCAGCAACTTATTGGATTCTCACACTGCTGTAAGGTGTTTGGTACTTTTGTGCCCCCTTTGCAGCTGGGGAAACTGAGGCACAAAGAGATAGATCACTTTGCTCATGAGCCGCAGGGTGTGGAGTGCTGACATTTGTCTCTGTTGCTGTCCTCCTAACTACCCACATGGGCCCCCCAGAGTGCAGAGGGAAAAGCTCTAAAAAGTACACATCTGCTCATTCAGGCCCAACAAGTAAGAGTTCTGGAATTGAGATGGAGAAAATTGCTCCATAAATGCAAGGAGGTCCCACATGCGCTTGATGGACCATGGGAACAGGAGCTGTCCAAGAGCGAGGTGTGCAGGGCCCTCAGCCCTGCAGTGAAGAATAATGTGTCGGTCCGCTTTTGTTGCTGGAACACAGCACTTGACACCCACAGCTTAAAGGAGGAGAGGTTTAACTTGGCTCATGGCTTCAGAGGATTCAGTCCATGGTCAGCAGGCTCCTAGGTAGGAACATCATGGTGGAAGGGTGTGGAAGAGCAAAGCTGCTTGCCTCGTGGGATTCAGGAAGCAGAGAGGGGAGGGGAGGACAGGAGGGGAGCTGTGTACTCCCAAGGCTCACCGTCTCCATGGTGTAGTGTGTGTGTGCATGCACACGTGTGCGTGTGTGTGTCTGGGGGTAGCCTGAGCTCCTGGACATGATAAAGCCGTGGCCATAGGGAGCACAGGGTGTGCCGCCCTGCGCTCACTCTCCCGCTGGTCTGCCGAGGTCTGTTCTGGCCTAAGGGGTGCCACTCTCCCCCGGAAGTCAGACTCTCCTCTGCGCTCCGGACATCGTCTCCAGTCAACGCTGTTGCCCTCACTTTCTGAACGAGGAAGTCCTTGGGGGAAGCTGGGCTAACAGCCCTGGAGAACAGAGTTCTCCATTATCACGAAGTGGGCATGGAGCAAGGACTTGGGGACAGTCTTTCCCCTAACATTTTCCTGGGAGAAAAGGATTTTTTTTCACTAATTTTTGGGCCAATCTGTGGTAACCAAGAGTACTGGGAAGTGCAGCTACACACTGTGGTGTTTTCAATTCTCTGAAGTCTGATGGAACCAATGCTTGGTTCATTTGCACTGGGAAATGAGCTTCGGATTTTCGTCACCTGATCAGTACCAGATTTAGCTATGTGGGGTCCACAAAGCGCTCTGTCTTCTGTGTCCGTGAGAAACACATTTATGGATGCCTAAGTATGCACCGTGCGTGGTCTGACATTTTTCTTGTAGTTTTCGGTGCTTTCTCTAAATACCCAAGATTTCATGTAGGGAAACTGTGCAATCAGACTTACATAGACTTGGAGAGCTCTTTCTCTTCCCCTCATTTGGGAAGGATTTGTAGGAAGTCAGGAAAATACTTGCGGAAGTGTAGTGTTGGCTCGTCCCTCACGCCAACAGAGGGAGAACAGAAAGATATGCTTTGTGCAGAATCAGGAGTTGGAGCGAGGTGTGCTTTCTCCCCGGAGCTCTGACATCACTTCCTGACAAGGCCCTGAACCGTCCCATTGTCTCTCTTCTGTCACACGGGACTGAGCGGGAACTCTTAGGACCCACTCTACAGCATCCAGAGTGATGCCAGGTACCTGCTTGAGGAACAAGAAACAGTCAGTGCCCCTGCCACATGCGGACGCTGTTCCGCCCCTGATATTTGTCATAGTTGATACTCAGCACTGGCTCTCTGCCGTCGGCCAAGCACACCGAAATCTCTCTCCCTGGGCAAGGCAGGCATGGCATCCCTGTTTACTGTCCAGCAGTCTGAGAGCTACAGGAGCGAGTGATTTCCTCCTAATGACAAAAAAGAATTGGTCTTAGTGTGAGGAACCTAGTGCACATCTCCATCCTCCCAAGCCCCAAATTCTTCCTATAATGCTCTTCTTAGTCTCCTAAAAAAGTCAAAATTAATAGTGACACAAAGACCCTGCCAGAGGAAGCAGCTCCTTTCTTAAGTTAAACACAAAGCCATTACTAGGAAAAGACATGGGGAGTGGCAGAGAAACCTTTGCTCCCATTGTCAGGGTTCCTGAGCTACGTCCGAAGCAGCTTTGGAACTAGGGGAATGTTCTTCTCGTGCCCTATGCCCACCCCCCTGCTCCTCCCCTCTTCTCTGCAAAACCCTTTCTTTCCTGGCCGGATGGATCTGCAGCACACACAGCTCACCCAGAATCCTTCCCCAGTCTCAGTTTCCCTTGGCCTCGGCCTCTCTGAACTCCTGCTTGGAACTTGGGTCTTCATTCCCAGAAACACCCACGTCAAGGTAGCAATCACTTGCCCAGGGCTCATGGAGCCTCCTGGCAGAGAAAGTGTCCCCTGGGCAGGAGCTGAACTTCTGTCTCGGGAGTGGGTGGTGGTGGTGCCTGCTCAGGACACCCAGCCATTGAGGGAGTAGTGAGTGAGCCCTCCGCTTCTGGAGAACCATGTTGAGGACAGTGCTGTGCTGGCCCTGATGGTCACAGCCACCACTGCAATGGGTGCAGGAGACAGACACCCTAAACATCACCATCACCTGTGTCTACAGCAACATCATGTAAAAGGCAGAAATCATCCTCTTCTGTGTGATATGAACATAGAACAAAGATGCGGATGACAGCAAAGTTGTATGTGTGGCAGGCCAAAGACCTGGCGTCACAGCCCCTTGATACAGATTGGCCAGGCAAATGTGAAGTGGTCAGACTCAGGACTGTGGTGTTTCCAGGAGGCCACAGTGCTTCCTGGATCTGAGAAACCCAGGACCAAAACCAAGCAGAGCATTACAAGTAAACATTTAGATGAAAAGCTATCCTTTTGTCTTGGTTACTTTTCTCCTTGATGAAACAAAATATTCGACATCCACAAGTTAAAGGAGGAAAACTTTATTTCAGTTCACAGTTTGTAGAGGTTTCAGTCCATACTCAGCTGGCTTCTAGGCACGGCACCAAGGCAGAGGGGCATCACAGAAGAAAAACAGTCCATGTCAGGGTAGGCAGGAGGCAGCAAGCAGCAGGTTTCCCTTTCCCTTTTATCCCATCCAGGCTACAAGCCTTTTGGGTGGTGCCCCCCACACCCAAGGTGGAGTTTCTATCTTCAGTAAATCCATTCAGCCACACCCAGAACTCTGATAATTCCAATCAGTGGAATAATTTAGTACCACACACCCTCAACCCCAGTATCACACACCTAAATGCAGCCAGCTCTGAAAAGCACTGCCTATAAATGCATGAGGCTTTGGGAGGAAATCAAGATAATGGGCTTAACACCTTTGGATGAACTATCTTGGGAAATCACCTCAGATATTGGCTGTAACTCTGCAGCAGCCAGCACCTCATTCAGAATGAGATGTGTTTCCGGCATGAATAGTCCATCATTTTTCAGAGGAGCCACAGGAAGCCATAAATCTGTTAGAGCTGTGATGCTTGGCAGTGCATTGTCAGCAGAAGAATCCGTTCCATCTGAAACTCTGGGAGTCAGAGCACCTCTTCGGAAGTGGATTATCTTTCATAACCAGTGAGGCCTTTACCCACTAAAACAAGTGGCTATTGTGTATTGTGTGTGTCTACACTGGATTGCAAATTAAACTCCCACTAGGGGCTCCAAAGGGAAACCTAGTGCTCCATCCTTTAAGCCACTCAGCCGCTTTCCTTAAGCACATGAATAAAAACCTTCCTGACTATCTGCATCCCATTATTCCAGATAATGTGACATGCCTGGGTTTCCTGCTTTTGTGAAGTGCTCAAAAGCACCATGGTGACTGGGCTGCCTTCCTGCAGAGGGGCTGATCCGGTGGCATGTCCCCTCATTCCTAAGAGTAGTGGAAGAGGAACCCGATTGCTTAATTACCCACCAGTGTTCAGGTCCTTTATGCCTGGCTTAGATCATTTTTATGAATCCCTAGCTTAGCCTAGAAGATTTCATGCTGTCTGAGTGCTAGGTACAAAGGTATATCCCTTTGCCCAGTCCCTTATTCCAAGAGTCAACAAGTGTCACTTGCTGTCCTATTTACTTTTCTCATTGCTGAGGCAAAATAACTGATACCCAACAGGTTAAAGGAGGAAAACTCTATTTTATCCCAGTTTGTAGAGGTTTCAGTCCATAGTCAGCTGGCTGCAAGGCAGGGCAGCATGGCAGAAGGACATAGCAAAAAAAAAAAAAAGAAGAAGAAGAAGGACACTGCAGAGGAGAAACAGTCCATGGCAGGGTAGGCAGGAGGCAATGAGCTGCCTTCTGTCTTCCCTTTTATCCCTTCCAGGCTACAAACCTAATGGTTGATGCCACCCACACCCAGGATCGGGCCTCCCATTATCCACACCCAGAACAATGCTAACCAAATAGAGGACTAATCTAATCATCACACCCTTACTCCACATTCACATGCTCTAGATCCAGCCACCTCCAAAAAGCCCCACCTATGTGTGTATGAGGCTTTTGGGAGCATCTAGACACAAGCCATAACACTGGCCTCCACTGTGTATAGAGCTTCCGGGACGTCTGACCACTCTCTCCTGGTCTCTCCTTGAAATCTTCAGTTTTCTTACTAATACTCTGTGCATTGGAAACCACTAGTCATTTGCAATTTTAAAATGCAGGTCAATTATAATAAGATTATAAGCACCAATATGATTTTCTCCCCCACGTGATGGCTAGGTACTAAAATACATAGATCCTGAATAGGGGCAGGCATGAGCCAGGGTGGAGACTTGCCCTGATTTACCATGGAACCCGAGAATCTGTGCTTCACTCATAGTCCCTAAAACTCACAGAAGAGCTTCATCATACCCCAGACTCTGGCTCACAATCAAACAGTCTTCCAAAAGAGCTAAGCATGGCACATGCCTGTAATTCCAGCACTCGGGAGGCTGAGGCAGGAGGATTGCCCCAAGTTTGAGGCCAGCCTGGGCTATATTGTGAATTCAAGTCCTGTCTGAACTGCACAGCAAGACCCTGTCTCAAAAAAACCAAAGCCAAAACAAAACAATCTTTCAAAGGAAATTTCCATTTTAAAGGAAAAAAAGGCCAGGTATGTGCATAATTGGTATGTGAGGATATTTCAAAGGAAAATGTGTATGTTTGGAGTTCGGGTTGTATTATTTCCCTTTTGCATGGAGAGGTGGAAGATCCAGGAGGGGGGCGGGGGGCGAGGTGGCCCTGGGCAGAGTGATGTCTGGAAACACCGCATAAGGCAGGTGCAACTCAGCACAGCACCGGAGCCCACGCCAGCACCCACAGCCGGAAGCCACTGGCAACGTCACATCCGCTGGGCAGAATTAGTTCTGTGGACTGCAGTTCACAGGGAGAGCACCTGCTAGGAGGGGTCAGAAGAGCTGCATATGGGATGAAGGGGACTCAGCAGCCCGGTGGCTTGCGGGAGGAGACCCAGCTGCTGTTACAGCCCCTTGACAGGACAGCAGCCGAGTCCAGCCACAGACCCTCTGGGGGACCCAGGGTCCGCTTACACATCCTCAGGAGAATTGCACTGATTCTGCCTCTTAGCATTTAATTATTTTGCATATCGTTAGTAATACAGTTCTCTTAGATTTTCAGTAGATGCATTGCCTTAAGAAGCACTACTGCCATCCTTAAGAAAATCTCATCTGTGGTTTCTGCATGTCACACACGTGTGTGCCCTCCATCCCTAGGCTGCTGTCCCGTGTCTCCTGCCACTCCCTTCTGTGCTGCGGAAAAACTGTGGTGCCACCAGAGCTCTGGCGGAACCACTTCCACACCAGGCCAGGCAGTAAAACTAACTGAGCATTCATTTCCCTGCTGCATTTGCTGCCCAGCGGGTCTCCACCTTTCACTTACCTGGCTTGGAATCCTCTCCGATTTACAGGTTGAGGACAGTGAATGTGAGGCAGGAGAGGCGCTATGGAGATGCGTGACCATAAGGCGTCCTTTAAGTCTGACGACCACGGGAGAACCCAGTGCTGGGCCCCAACTACTGAGCAGTGTGGGCACCATGTCTGTGGAACGGAGCCATGGAGGAGTCCCGGGCAGCACTGCAGAAAACACATTCATCTCGGACAGCACAGTTACTGGGCAGCATGGCCTCCAGATGCATGGCTCCTTTTGGGACTTAAAATATCCAGAGTTAACTGCAAGCCAAAGATAAAACTAGCAATAATATCTGCTGCGACGATTTGCTGATTGGCTTGAGAATGCGCTGAGGGTCTCACTGGTGCCGGGATTTGAGCCTGACACGTGGCCAGACGTGGTTATCTCGCCAGCCGTTCCCACCAGGGCTGTGTCTGGGTCTCAGCGAAAGCCGCTCAGCCTCGTTTCTCCTCTGCTCAGAGCTTCTTGAAAGGGCGTTGTCCAGCTGAGCCTCAGAGTACCCGCGTCAGCTGCATAGAAAGGGCAGCTTCTGCTCTTACTGTTTTTGTACCCGTGTATGTGTGGGCAGATCTGCAGGGTAGGGCACACTTTGTTTTACATTCCGGGACTTTTTCCTATTCCAATGCAGCAACTTGAGGGCGCAGCTCAAGTGTACACACAGAACTCGGTCATGTTTCCTATACACCCTGCGCACACAGTTTGAAGGTAATTTCTTGCCATATTTTTGATAACTTGGTTCACGAACAAAGTTTCAGAGTGTGAAATTTGCCAGTTTGGGCATCACATCAGCACTCAGAAAAAGTCACGATCTGACCCTAGAGCCCTGGGTGCTGAGGCCCTACCTGACCTTGAAGAGGATTGGTCAGAAACGAGCAATGGAGGCCCACGGGAGAAGGGAAGCCCAGCTCCACAGCCACTTGTGGTCTCTTCCCGTGTTCTGGTGAAATGAGTTCCAGAGATCGAGGAGACTTTCTCTGCGGTCGGTGGGCGCCGTACCTGCCAGGGCTGACATCTCCGCTGTCGTGTGTCACCACCAGGGGTCAAAGCCATTTATGCCAGGCCACAAGGAACTGGCAAGGGCAGCTAGGCCACCACAGGACCTGCCACAGACAGCCCCTGTGGCTTGTTGAGAATTCCACAAGAACACAACCTCCGTGGATCATTTCCGTGAACCATGGGAGACCTCGGAGCTTCTGCCAGTGCAGAGTGGCAGGGCAAAGGGTTTCAGCCAGTGTCCCGGCTATGGGCCTTTTGTTAGACAATAGAATCACAGCCATGCTGGGCATTTGCTGCACTGGGCGCCCGCCCCAGCCCTCACTTCCTCCTGGTTAAATGTTGATGCAGCAGGAGCTCGAGTTCTACAGCTCCTGCCTGTTCCAACCCGTCCCGGCCTGTGCACTCCAGTTATTAACTATTTCAGATGGGTACATTTGTAATTAGCTCTGAGCAAGGGATTTGAGAAGACTTCAGACATCTGCCACACTGTGATTACCTTTTGTTTCTTGCTCTTGCTGGTTCTCTCAACAGTGTTCCTTTTATCAAAGGACAGGCATCTTTAGCTTCCCATCCAACACTAACTCTCCTAGCAGAAGAGCAGGGCCGTTGTCCTCTCCTTGTGCTTTCTGGGGAAGTAAGGAGGAAATATTCATGGGCAGGAGACTCATAACAGCGCTGTTCTGTATGCAGAGCCCCAGGACTCCTGGATTTCCATCCCACCCAGCACTGGAGAAATGTAAAAATGACAGCAGCATAGGCCCTCATGGCCTGCAAAACTGCACCCGGATGAGGCAGCCTCGGCCAGGCTTGCTTATTGCTCCAGGATTACATACTCAGCACTATCCAAATACAAGGAAAGAAAGACTCTGTAGCAACCTCCCCTGTATATGGCAGGGACAGAATATATGTGCAAAAACAAACCCAGTTAGTTAAATTGAAGAGAAAATTGGCACAACTTAATATCCTGTGCAGTTTTGAGTCCTGAAAATCTTACTTACACTGACAGACCTTTTCCAGCTTTACTGTGGTGCATTCTATGTTGTTGGAGATCTCACTCTGCCCCACTCTGCTTGATGTTCGCTGGTGCAAACCGTCTCCACTTGGCAGGAGCAGGCGGCAAGAATTCTCCCCGCTCAGCCCGAGGGTGAGGGCTGGAGAGGAAGGAGGCGGCAGCTCGCGAGGGCGATGTCACGGCGGCGGCGTCACAGGCAGCCTGTAATCGGGGCCCAGCCTGCACCTCAGGCTGGCAGCCTGTTGGACTGCTGTGTTTGCTTGGCCTGTCTGTGCTTCCCAGGGGCTGCAGAGTTGTTTTTGTTTGTCTCTGAAGCCATTGATTCTAATAGAAATACACAGCCACCTAGCGGCTGGAACCTGGGGTCCGATTTCCACAGTCTGCACCCCAGGGGACGCAGAGGGTCTCTTGGAGGCGCCTGCAGTTTCGTATGAGACTCGTGGTGTCTACCAGGTGCGACCTCCCCGAGCCCACGCGGCCCCTTTGGTGACAGCTCCACTCACTCTGCGTGTGAGCTGAACCCCAGCATTGGTCTTTCTGAAAGGTAAGAGGCCACATGTTTGGGGTTCAGTCTCCTGCAGAGGGCTGTTCGCCTCCCAAATGCTGGCTGCAGCCAGATGTCATCCGCTTGGGCTGGGCTGGGCGAGCCTTCCAGGCCCTTCCTGGTTGCGGTAATGGGAAGATCACAGAGGGAGCGGAGATCAGAAGGAATCGCTGCTAAGCGCTCAGGCCGACTGGATGCGGGGTGCCCATCTCAGCAAGCCTGTGCGTGTGTGTGCACACCACCAATAGGCGTGCAAGCACTGTGAGCTGCACCTTCGCAGTCCCAAAGCGGGGATCTCAGAGTTTCCGGGCGGCGGCCAACGCCTCTCTCTGCCTTTGCCTTCCCAGGATGGAACCCAGGCCCCGCCTTCCTCTGCAGCCTTTGATGAGAGGAATTCTCCTGTGGAGGCCCCTGTGTTCCTGCCAGCCCGGGAACGACTGGGAAATGTGTCTTCCCACTTCCTATGCCTCGCAGAGCACTTTGGGTGTTCAGACAGCCAGGCTGCTCGGTTTGTTTTGCTCCTCCATTAGGGAAACCTGGATCCCATCTGGGAAGAGTCGAACTACAGTCTGAATTTACCGAAGTGAGCTACTGGGAGAGGAACGTGGCGCAGTGCGGCGCTCTTCCCGGGAGACGTGCCCTGCGCCTGCGCTGTGTCCTCACCCCTTCTGGGTCGCAGAAGTCAGGTCTCTGGGCGGGGTCCGGCCCTGGCCCTGCCCACCCTGCCCTCGGTCTGTGTCTCCGAGCAAGCTCGGCCCCAAGGCCCCGCCCGGAGCTCAGGACGTCTCTGCTCGCAGGCTGCTGCAGGCTCCGCCCTGGGGTCCTGCTCCTCAGCCGCCTGCCAGCCCGGACTCCGCGCTAGGGATCCTCCGGGCCCGCCCGCTGGGCACAGGGGCTTCGGACTGCGTTTCCCCCGGCTTCTCTTCCTCTGCACCTGCCCCTCTCTCCTCCCCTCTCCTCTTCCTCTTCCCTCCTGGCCTGCCTCCGTTTTCTTTTCTTTTTGTGGTATGGGAGACTGAACTCGGGGCCTTCCCATTGAGCTACATTCCCAGACCTTTAAAAAATTTATAAAATTTTAGAAAAAGTCTTGAAATAGAGTCACACTAAGTTGCCAAGTTGCCCATCCTGAGCTCAAAGGTGCAATCCTCCTGCCTCAGCCTCCCAGATGCGGGGATTACAGGTGCGCACCACCCGGCCTGGCGGCTGCCTCCTCCTAAATCTTTCTGCTGTCCTGTTCACAGTCTCGCCGCGCGGTGCTCCGGCATTACGCTAGGGGAACGGGAACGTGAAGTACTGTCTTCTGCAGCACACGCCCTCGCTGTCTCAGAAATCAAACAGAAACCTACACGTACGTGCAAGGGCTGTGTATGCTGGCATTGTCTGGACAACGGCGAAACTACGTGAAAGCCTAACACCCTGGTCAGGCGTCGTCAGTTTCTGATGCCTGTAGGTATTTTCTCCTCCAGTGAACGCACTCAGGGAGAGGACACGCAGCGCCAGTCCTTTCCGGGACAGGAAGTGTTCATCCATGCAGTTCGATGTCTGCCTTGAGACTTTCAGGAAGTAGAGACCGGAACTCAGAGGGCGCTACGAAGGCGAAAAGCCCTCCACGCCTCCGGGAGGGGCCCTCTCTGACCTGACCTCACCATGCTCACTCGGCAGCAGTGTTCGCAGTGTTCGTTTCAGTGTCAGCTGTTTCGCTGCTCCTGGCTGGCGGCAGGGGTCCACGCGACCCGACGCTGTGGGCACAGTTTGTCTGGAGCTCCTGTCTTGCCCCTCCCCTTAGCCAGTGTGTCCTGGGTGCCAGGCTGTGTTCTGGGCACGGGGATATGGCGGAGGTTGTGTGTGAGCTCGGGGTGCCAAGACTGCGGGGGAAAGTGACGGGAAGCCAGCCGGGTGCCGAAATGGACCAGGCACTGCCCTGAAGCAGGCCCGGGGACAGAAGGTGCTTGGAAGTCTTCCTGCTTGGGGCGGGGACAGAGCTTCCGTGGTCGCTGCAGAACAGCTATCTGGACCGGAAGCGGGGGGCTGAGTGGCTGGGCTGGGCCCAGCCAGGAGGAGTCGGGTCTCGAGGGTCCCTGGCCTCAGCAAGGCTTTGCCTCTGAATCCAAGGGAAGCAGAGAGCGGCAGGAGGCAATGGCGTGATGAGGCCTGCCTCCCAGGCCCGGGCTCCCCACCGAGCTCAGGCGGCACTCTCGGCCGAGCGGTCTAGGTTTGGGGATGGGGGGTCCTGGGTATTGGGGTGCTCGGCGGCAGCTCTCCAGTTGTGACAGCTGGGAATGTCTCCAGGTTTGTACCTGGGGGCCGGATCACCTCCTGTAGCAAACCAGCTGTAAAAGGATGGCAGCTGCCAGAGTGATGTCCCCTTGTGTAAGACCCGGAACAGGGGAGGGAAGTTTATTTCATTAATATTCCGGGTGTGCTAGAACTCTCTTGCCAGGTGAGATTCAACTCCATGTGCGTACGTGCACACTCGTGTTCGTGATGGCGTCCCCCTGGCAAGGTCACCTCCCGACTGACCCCTTTGTCCGGGACCTGCACAGACAGCGCCAGGCGGAGCTCCTGGGGAGATGCTGTTCTGGGCAAGAAGAAAACAGCGCAGGTCCCTGACCAGCACCCAGCACCCAGCACCCGGCACCCAGCACGGGAGGGCCCGGCCCGAACTCAGTCCCGGCAGCCCCAGGCGCAGCCACTCAACATGTCTGCGCCGCACCATGAGCTGTTGGGGTCTCCCTTGCCCGCTCTCTATTTCCTCAGACTCTGGCCGGCTCCGGCTTTTCTGTCGGTGAGACTTTCCTTCGCCACACAGTGACCAGGCGGCCGGGGACAAAGTCACGTCAGGAAGGAAGCTGCCTCCTCCTGCACACGGGCAGGGGACTGACGGGGACAGCGCGGGGCCTCTGTCCCAGTCACCGGTGCACACGTCTGTGCAGGGACCCACAGCCCCGGCCGCCCCTTCTTGGAGTCTGGAGGAAGAGGAGCTGCCTCAGTGCCCTTCTAGCAGGGCTGGCGTCTCGCGGTGCTGGCGGCCCTGGGAGAGGCAGTGACGAGAGCCGCTCACTCCGCATCTCGGCTGGGTCCGCTCCAGGGCCTGTGTGTTTGCCATCACAGACACTGAGGAGATCCTCAGCGGGTAACATGGCACTGGCGCCTAACTTCCATGGCAAAATGTCGAGGATGTCTTGACTACAGCTGAGCCTGGTGACTGGAAAAAGCAGTGTCCAAAACTGTGGTAGCACAGCTGGAGTTTTGACTCCGTTTCACTACTTTCAGCCTTTGTTTTCGTTAGTCCGTGTTCACAATCCATAGCGATTGCGCTGCTCGTGGGGAGTTGTGCATGGACAAAACACAGCATTCTCCTTATGTCCTCTTCTTTCCTTCTCTCTCCATGTCCTGGTCCCCTTCCCATTTGCAGAAGGTCTACCTCCATGCTTCCTGTAATCTATCTTTTAGCTTGCTCTTCAATTTGCTTACACTTTGGGCTTCTTCTGTATGAGAGACCATGTGATACTTAAAGCTGTGGGTCTGATTTACTTCATTTACCGTTATGGTCTGTAGGTGTATCCATTTTCCTAAAAAGACTCAGTGTATCCTTCTTCGTAGCAGAGTAGTACTCCGCTGTGTCATCTGTGACAAGGACAGCCAGCATCATCTATCCACAGGGCAGTTTGTGCCCATGACTCCAGGCACACTGTAGTCATCCACTGCCTACCACCCTACCCTAACCTCCTGGTCCCTGGCCCTCCCTGGGTGGACTCCCAGGCCCCACTTGCTCAGTCCTATGGCCTTGGTCACCACTTTGTATCCACTCTCCCAACTCATGAGGAGGCTGCTGCCCGGTTGCTGGAGGAGGTAAGCTCTTTGGGCCTCACCCTCAGGAGAAGGCTGGCCTCGTACAGCAGCTCATCCTCCCACCGCCTCCTCCTGCGGAACTGCACCTCCTGGCCTACACCACGGCAGAGCATCCACCAGCGCTTTCCACCTGCTGACTTTGCACCCAGCCAGGCTCCGCCTGCTAACATCTGCTGTGTTTCCCCCCAGCAGCTTCCTCCTGGGAGCTGAGCTCTGGGCTACAGGGCTGTCGGATTTGTTTCTGCAGCACCAAGAGTGTCAGGCGTGTAGTAGCGCTCAGCAAATAACTGAACAGGAGACTAGGAAGGTGAAATAGCTTAAGGAGAAAGCAAAGTGGGCAGAAGTCTGTGTGTCTGGAAGCTTTACAAGGAGCCTGCTCACCGACACCGGAAGCTGCTGGATGTGACCAATTGCATGGATGCCCTTCCAGTTCGAGCCGCTTCTGGGGTGCACCTGTCTGGGCTGGGACAGGGAGGACCCCTGTTTTGTCTACTTGTCACTGCTGTCACCCATGCTTTGTGCTTGGCTCTGTGTGCAAGGGGACAACAGCCACAAAGCCCATGGGGTAATTTAAACATAGGCACCTCTGCTTGATTTTTAAAGTGTGGCCATTTTTAAGTTAAATTTATTTTTCACTGATAGGTAAAGGCATAAAAATTGTTCATACTTATGTGGTGCCAAGTGACATTCTGATGCCTGTATACATTGCACAGGCTTTAAATCAGATTCTAAGCATCTACCTCATTAATTCTTTTGATGAAAATACTCAGATACTTTCTTCTACCATTGTGAAATGTGTGGAAGATTCTTCTTAGTTAGCTTCACCCTACTGTGCATTATTACCACACAAGGACTCCCCAAGCCACCTACTCTAATCGGTAGCATGGTCAGCCTCTCCCTGCATTCCCTCCTCCTCCTCCTCCTCCTCCTCCTCCTCCTCCTCCAGCCTCTCCTAACTACCATTCTTCTTTCAGTGTGTAAGAGGTCAACTGTTTTAGATTCAGCATATCAGTGGGATCATGTGGTACTTGTCTTGCTAAGCCTGGTTCATTTTATTTCCATAAAGATCTCCAGTTCTACTCTTGTGGTCCCAAACGACACAACAATTTCATTCTTTTTGTGCTGGATGCTATGCCATTGTACATATAGTGATGGTTAAGCTTGATGGCATCGATTTGATTGGCTCAGGAGCTACCAGGGGATCGGTGGGCACACTTCTGGGTGTGTCTGGGTGGGTCGTGGAGGCATGGCCCTGGGGACTGTATCTGTTGCCTGGCCCCTTCCTCTCTGGCTCTGTTCCCCTGATCTTCTGTCCAGCCACCATGAACTAAGCAGCTTGGCCATGATGTTCTTCTGCCTTGAAACAGCAGACCATGGACTGAATTACCTTAAAACGTGAGCCAAATTAAACCTCTCTTCCTTTAAGATGGGTGTTGGATATTATATCCAACAATAAGAAAGCTGACACATACACACACACACATACTCACATTTTTTATCCATTTATCAGTTGATGGATACTTAGGTTATTCCCATTCCTTGGCTGTTATGAATATTGCCACAATAAACATGGGGGTGCAGATGCCTCTTCCACACACCAATTTCATTTCCTTTGGATATCAGCCCAGTAATGGAATTTCTAGGTCATATGGTAGTTCTGTTTTCAATTTCCTGAGGAACATCCATGCTGTTTTCCACAGTGGCTGTGTTGATTCGCATTCCCAACTCTATCTCCTTGCCGATACTGGTCACCTTTTAACAGGACCTTTCTAACTGGGGTGACGTGATATCACCCTGCAGTTTCCATCTGTGTTTCTTGATGACTAGTGAAGGTTACCATTTTGTCTTACACCTTTGGCTACTTGTGTATGTTTTTGGAGCAATATCTATCACAGTCTAATGCCCTTGTTAAAATTTGATTGTTTTTTACTATTGAGTTTTTTGAGTTCCTTATGTATTCAGGATATTAATCACTCATCAGATGTGTAATTTGCAAATACTTTCTCCCATTCTGCAGGTTGTCTCTTCACTGTGTTGTTCGTTTCCTTCACTCTGCAGAAATTTGATCTATCTCATTTCTCTGTTTTTTCTTTTGTTTCTGTTTTGGTTTTTGGGGTTTTTTTTAATCTTATCCCCATGCCAAAGTCCTGAAGTGTCTCCCTGATATTTTCTTCTAGTAGTTTCCTCGTTTCTGGGCTCATTGCATGTCTTGTCTTATTCTACTCCAGGGCCACCTTTAAACAGGTCTGTTTTTGAGATCACAAAAATTAAGAAAATATTTAGCAGGTAACATAGGCCTGCAGCCTAACTCACATGACAAAATTTTAAGGATCTCTCTAATTTGTTTTCGGTTGGCTTTGTACCGACTGAATGATAGGGGTTTAGTTTCATTCTTCTGCATATGGATACCAGTTCTCCCAGCTCCATTTACTGGAAAGACTGTCCTTTCTCCACTGCACTTTCTTAGCTCCTCTGCCAGAAGTCGGTTGGCTGTGGATGTGTGGGTCCCCTTCCAGGGTCTTGCTCTGCTCTGTTGGTCTGTGTGCCTGCTCCTGTGCCCTTACTCTGCCATTTTGTTTACTACAGCTCCATAATGTATGTTTTGAAGTCGGGCTGTGCAATCCTTCCTGCCTTGTCCATTTTGCTCGAGATTGCTTTGGCTAATTGGAATTACCTTCTGCGGAACCGCAGATCATTTGGCGTTCCTTCTATCTACTCAGTAGTTTTTACCTCTAAATCTTTGACTTGTTTCTGGGCTGAGCAGGCTGTGCCCTGTGACTCTCAGCGAGAGGTCCCTTGGGTGGCCCGACCGAGTCCTGTCACCCATGATGCCCTGTGGGTGTGGATCCCAGGAGCATGGGGCAATGCCAGGGAGGGGAGGGCAGAAGGACCGAGTCCGGGCTGGGCCTTTCCCCTTTCCCTCCCGTCCTCCTCCTCCTCCTTCTCCATGTTTTCGTCATCTCTCCTAGCTCCCCTCATTAGATTTTAGGCAGCGACAGTCCTTCAAGAGCTTTGAGCGTAGAAGTGACATGATTTAACTTGTCTTTCACTGAGTAAAAAGCTGGACGGTAATCAGAATGTAAAGGTTAAACTTCCATCCAACCTCTCCCCACAGCATGACTCTGACTAACTTGAATTCCCAGCAAAATGGGGGTGACAGCTCTGCCTTGTGGGACTGGGTTATTGGGACTGGGTTGGGGAGGATAACATACTTCTGCTGTAAGCAAAGTCGAATGATGCAGAGATGTTTGTTATCTCTTTGGAATAATTATTAGCCTGAAACGTTGGAAAGGCCTAACTTTAAGGCAGAATCCACTAAGTACCAAGGAGAAAGAAGGACAAACCCAGCACACATGGCCTTAGGTTCAGTCCCATCCCAATCCCAGGGACACTGGCAACAGAGTGGGGGACAGCTCTGGGGAGGGGACAGGTGTCACTCAGGCGTGGTTTGCAGGCTGTCACCTGAGAGCTTCCTGGGCGGTGACCATGGGGAAGTCAGCTTCCTGTAGACATCGCTCCAAAGCCTGAGCCTTGGTTACATTTGGTTAATGCGACCTCCTTGGCCTTCACTTGGCCCTCTAGCTGGCTTTCGATGATGGCTTCCGGGTGCTTAAACCCCAGATGACGCCAGTAGGATCTTCATTTGATAGTTAGAGCATGGATATATTTGAGTGTATTTGAAGCTTCATTTTGAAAAGTGGCTAATAAAAATTTTATAATAGTGCAGAAAATAGATTCCTTATTTTTAAAGTATAAGTATGCCTTACTGTATTTAAATTTAATAATTCAGAGAGCTTCTCATACATTAGCTCATTTCTTTCTGCAGATGGGTAAGATACATGAAACTGATATGTGACATCTGTATAAATGTGTGGAAGTGACAAATTATGCAGTTTTCTCCATTTGATATTTTTCTTTTGGCTCAATAGTATTGGGACAAAATTTGGTGACTTATGGAGACCATAGATTTGATTAAAGATTATTATCAATTACTTTAAATGTATTAATATTTGATTTGGTAAGCTCTGTTATTTGTTCCCAGGATGTTTATTCAGCTCTGTCAGTACATGTCTTCACACAGGAATAAGCTTTTCTGAAATTTGTTTTAGGTTTTGAAACTAACTTGAACCTAACCAGTCAGGATGATCCTGGTACATCAGAAATCGCTTCAGAGACTCAAGATAGAAATGCGAACAACCACGGAATTCAGTTCTCTAATTCACTGTCTAGTGCTGTACCTGCTGAAAATGGAAATTCTGTCTCCAATGGTAAGCACTTTTAAATCAGAAATAAATGCACACAAATTTGAAACTGTATCACCTTCCTAGGAAGAACAGATTTAAAATATAAAAGTGCAGGGCGGGGATTTAACTCAGTGGCACTGCACTGCCTCCCCAGTGCAAGGTCCTGAATTTGATCCCTGGTACCAGGAAAAATTATATATATATGCAGTAAGTAGGCTTACTAACTGGAAAATAGAATATAAACTGGGAAACTCCATGAGGTGATTATTGTCAGAATACTATGGTTATTGTTGGGAATTAGGATTTCATTCATTATGTGGAGAATTTTCAGAGATTTTTTGCAATATTTTTCCATTAGAACTGGCATACAATTAGTCATATACTGAGTAGCAAGAGGACAGGGATGTTCTACCAACATTGTTTAAAAAATATTTTCCCATAACTAAGAAATGTGATGGAAAATAATACTGGAGGAATGGTAAGTGCCAAACTGCCTTTAGTTTGTTCTTTCGAGGGCATCAATGAGTGTATCATTTGAAGTTAACTTGACTGTATGTGTCCAAAACCCTGTAAATAAATATTTTCTCTTGTATATCAAAGAACTCTGGCAAAAAATATCAGACCAACCTTTCCATAAAAACCTTCAAAAGAAGGGAACAAATATTTTTCTTTCATCTGGTTAGACTCGCTGGAGAGGCATCAGCACAGTGGGCCGCTGTGAATGAACCGCTGTGCTGCGGCACTGTGGCCAGCACCCCAGGCACACCGGGGACGCTTGCAGAGGCAGGTGACAGGGGTGTGCACCTCACTGCCTCCCGGATCACAAGGCAGGCAGCAAGTCCAGGGCCTGGGGTGGCTGTGGTGTGTCCACCCCAAAGTCAGTGTGCCGGAACCACGACACGGCCCCACCGTGAATTCAGCCTCCGTGCTGGGCTGTGGTGTCCTGGAGTGGCAGGGTCAGCACGTGCTTGGGGGAGGCATGCAGGTTATCCTCGGGGTGTAATGGCAGCCCAGGCTTCAAGGTATTCTCACAAACCATTTCTCCAAAACGATGTCTATCATGGCATCAAAAATAACTGACACATAGGCACACAGCATAAGCTAGGGAATCCGTGCTTACTGTCAGTTGTAGGACAGCCACAGTCACTGAAAAGATCATAGATCAATGACACACATCTTAAAAGCATGTATGCCCATCCTGCCTAAGTAGATAATAGAATTGCAGCAGAAATGGAGACTCAACAAAACCTAACCAGTGGAAATCTTGAAACTGCAAAACAGCATAATAGAGTGAGATGGTTCTTTACAACCAAACAGAAACACCTGGGGAAGTGGGGTACAGAAGCAGGAGGAGGAGCAAGAAAGAAGAGAGCATACCTGTGTGGGAAACAGATGTGGTGAGACGTTCCAACACTGCATAGAGAATCGAGAAGTAGAAAGAGTGAAGGCGTATTATTCCAGCACTCCGGGAGGCTGAGGCAGGACCAGTGCGAATTTGAACCCAGCCTGGAAAGTTTAGTGGCTTAGCGAGACCCTGTGTGAAAATGAAAAGAGCTGGCTATGCAGCTCAGTGTGAAGGCCCTGGGTTCAATTCCCAGTGTCCAAGAAGAAAGAGAGAAAGAAGGAAGGAAGGCAAGGAGGCAGGCAGGCAGGGAAGGAGGGTGACAAATATAAGGCTACACATGGAAACAAACGTTTACAATTACTTTAAAGCTTCATTTAGTGCAACTCTGCATCAAAGACAGTTGGCAATACAATGCTTTAAGGACTAAGACGTCTGAAATACATAGTGCTGAAAGAGTAGATATGAAGAAAACAGAGCTTGCAAATATTAGTAAACAGAATGAACAGTCATCATGCATCTGGGATTAAGAATTACATCTCTAAGTAAGCAATGGACTCAAGAGAAAACTCACAAAATAAATTGAAGAGAACATATTCGGTGTCTATGCAAGGCTACAGCCTGGGGACATGGCCAGCATCTTCATAAATAGAAATGTGCGCCTTTAAACGTTGCATTGTGAGAGGAGAGAGGCTGTGAGTCAGCATTAACAATGTCAAGAAGTTGGAAACAAAATCGAGCTCTAATAAAGTGGAAGGAAAGATGTAATAAAATTAAGCATAGAATTTATTGAAACACGAAAGGGCAAAGCATCATTTTTGTTCTTTAAATGAAACTCCTTGAAAGCATGAATAGAACTGATGATCATCTTGCAAAAGTAAGGGAAGTCGATATTAAACTGTAGGCATAGGACAGGGACACCAGATAGAACTTGTGGAAATTAAAAAATTATGTTCATAGAATATGAATAGATTTTGCCAAAAATAATGTAAACTTACATTAAAAAACACATTTTTCAAAAAATAGAAATTACTTATCGCTTCTCAGCCTTTTGGCTAAGATCAAGTGCAAAAAATAGAACTTAGCAAAGTAAGGTAGGAAAACTAAATACTGCTCCAACTATTAAATTAATGTAATGTGTAACTAGAATACGGTCCGACAAGGAGAAGTCTGTTTCTCCAGTAAATTTTCCCAAAGTTCTGAGGAATAAATAATGTCAGTGCTGGACAAACACAGTGAGAGAAGTGTCCTGGCTGACGTGAAGAGTCACTTCGTTTGTGACGGAATTGTTTCCCAGGGTTTTGGGAGAAGAAACCATTGCTGTCCACGTAGGGCAAGGCAGGAAGATTCCCCTACCTCAGGATCCACTCAAACACAACCCCCCAAATCTCTGGTAGATTCCAGGTCTAATGCTAAACATACAATAATAAACTCCTAAAAGAAAATATGGGAGACCTTTATTACCTCAGAAAAAGGAGAAGAAAGGACTTCTCAGAGGACGGGACCGACCGGGTGCGGCCAGGCAGCCAAGAGGGAAGAAGACCAGGAGCTGGGCGAAAATCCTTTCCACCACGTGGAACCAACACTGGGGCATCGTCAGAGTGGACGTGACTTGAAAGCAAAAGGCAACTGAATGGAGTGGGGACAGAAGACAGGACAAGAAGAGCACCCGTGACTCTGCCGTGGAGGTGGCTCCCTTGGTGAGGGGCCACGTACCCCAGGGAGCGCAGATGCCAGGGCTGGGAGGAGCTCTGAGAAGATTCCCACCTGAGCAGGGCGGAGATTTACCTCTGAGGGGGAGGCAGAGTCAGTCCGGTCTCGGAGAAGGAATGGCTGGGCTTCCAGTAGCTGACAACGTCTCTCAACTTGTGTGGCAGTGACAGCCCTACAACGAGAAAACGAGCAAAAATGAAAGAGGGAGGAAAGAAAGAGGCACGGGGAAGGGAACTTCCCTCCACCGAGAGACTTCATTTTCTCTGTGTTTTAAGTGAAAAGACAAAAGCTACAGCTGGGGAAAATCATCCCAGAACAGTCAATTCGCAAAGCTCAGTCTTACTCTGTAAGTGAAATCAAAGCCCAAAACCAATGGAACAAACAAGAGCCCCCTAGACCAGAGTGGAAATGCTCATGGCGGACTCTCCTTGAAATTAATAATATAAAAACAAGTCTTTGGGAATGCCAGGCCTTTGAACTTCAGCATGTAACAGTAGAGTGTGCCCAAACCCTGCAGTGCAGGTTTATATATTCTTCCTAAATGCTTGCAGGGTCTGGGTTTTAAAACACAGCTGGTTCTGCGTTGTCGTCAATTGAAGATCACTTGAAAATCTCGAGAGCCATGTGCACAGGCGGGAAATTATTGCAGTGGAAGTTCCAGTCCTTCTCAGCAACGTGACACATTTATGCCCACGTGGTTTCGTGAGCGGCGTGAATTGTGGGCGCCTGGAGATTCCCCAGATGATTAAAATCTCCAGGCCTCGGACATCGAAGTGTGAGGAGGCCTCACTGACGGAACAGCGCCATGGACGGCCTTCCCAAGTGAAGCCGCGGATGAAAGGGAACGCGAAGTTCAAAGAGCCAGAAACCGCTCTTCTCTAGAAACGTTCTGCTCTGGAATGCGAGTGTCAGCATGCTACCTCTGCATCCCAGAAATAATGATCTGGTTGTTCATTTGCCGAAATACAGTTCTGTGTGGGTAATTACAGCTATCACTTACTTTAATTGCCATCCTTCCACTGATGTGAACAGAGACTTAGATCTTTTCTTGTGTACTTAATTATTCCCCAGACTTGTGGTTATTTATCATTAGATTAGAGAGCGGTTTTTAGTTGTAGAATGTTTTAGCTATAGCAAACAAAATATTGTGAATATACAGATGTTTATCTTGTGGAGAAATAGAGATATAAAAACTTCCAGCAAGGATATTTCATCATCTGTGTGATTTTCTGTCTCGCTGCTCAACTGATAGACATTTTATTCCCGAGCAACAGGAAAATGGCAGTTAAAGAGCAGTCGTTCCACCTGCACTTCTCTTTGGCTGTCAGGGAGATGGTCCCCGGTTTACATACATGGTGATCACCCCTTCTCCCCACACAGGAAGGCTCTCGAAGGGCAAGAGCTGTGCACCCCTCACAGGGCCAGGAGTGCTGTCTTCTGCAGGTCTCTGAGCTCAGCGGTTGGGGGGACCCCAAGCCCCCTCCACGGGCCGCGCCTGGAGGTAAACCCCCACCGCTGCCAGCGAGCTACAGATGGGCACTCACAGCTGTGTTCGGACAGACCTTCCAGAAGCTGCCATGTATGTTCATGGGAATTGCACTGAACGCTTGGAAACTGTACTGTTGCCGTCTAACTTCAAAGTTCAAAGGCCAGAAAAATAAGCAGCCTTCCCCAGACGTGCTGGATAGTTTGCAGTTGGCTGTTTCAAGCAATAGATGCCTACAAGAAAGAAGCCCTGGGGCACCTGCAAGCCCTAATCCCTCCCCCTAGAAGTCATGTTACATCACGTCTACTTTGGGCCTCATTTAATTAAATTTTCTCCCCTGCTCGGTATAAACCGGCTGGAAATGGATGGATTGAGGCGATCGCTTGCTGTTTTTCAGCAGTGTGACATTGTTCTTGGGGCTTAAGGAGTCCTCCACCTGGGTCCAGTGCCCAGCTTGACTCTTCATTACTTATCCTCTCCACCTTCAGTTTTCTTGTCTTGAAATCCCAGGGATTTTTGTATGATGGCACTCGTACCAAGTTAGTGCTCAGAGAATACTACCTTACACCATTATAAAATCTTGAAGGGTTTTAGAGCTACAAGATCCATGTGGATTTTCCCAGTAAAAACAGAAACCATGGGCAATGAACAAATGAGATACAAGGTGATGAATTCTCCAAGACTGTACAGCCTACCACACTAGTATCGGTGCTTTACGACAAATTACACATGGACCCGAGCTCAGGCGTGTGTGTAGCCAAACATGCATATCATTGTGCAGCCTCACTGCATTTGGGGAATGCAGTGGGGAATGACAAGCCTCTGGGGTGGATATGAGAGTGCATGGTGAACTCAGGGAGGACCATCTTACTCCTGGGCTGGAGGTTGCAAAGTGGTACACAAGGCAGAGCAGCAGGAGGGGTCCCGAGGGGAGGTGGTGCACACTGCCACTCACAGCGTCTGTCCAGCCTGCTGGTTGCACATAGGCATTGTGCGGGCAAGGGAGGGACATGATGACCACACAAGGCGCCCTCCCTGTGAACATGAACAGTGATGATGCCTGCTGGAAAAGACTACAGAACAGGGCATTCAACTCAGCTGCTCCCCTTCCAGCTGTTCTCCCATGAGTGTCCAAGAGAAGTCAAAGACTTTCCCAGAAGAGTGTGGCGTTAAAGCTTGGGTTGACTGACAGGGAGCTGTGCACACCCAGGTTTATACAGCACGACTCATACAGCTAAATCTCAGAGGCAGCCTGTATGCTCACCATCAGGTGAATGGATAAAAAATGTGTTTACACACACTGGAGCACTGCTGCTCCATCAAGGATACACTTGAGTCATTTGGAGGAAAATGGACACACTTTGAGACCATCATATTAAATGAAATGAATCAGACACGTGAGCTTAAGTATCATGTGGTTTCTCTTATACAAGAAACCCAAAGTCTTTATAAATTAAAGAGGGAAATAGAAGATAGAAAACAGGAAACTGGGAGACAGGTCTTTTACAAAAGGAAAGGAGGCCAAGAGACAGGGAGAGGACAGAAAAAGAGTGAAGATGTGTCACATGCAGGCACCAGCTCTCTGAGATGAGCATAATCATTGTGTACTGCAATCGCGCAGTGATGAAAATAAAGATGAAAACCAGCAGGGAGTCAGTGGTGTCCCCTGAATCGGCTAAGGGTTTCCTTCTACATCCACGAGAGCAGTACTCGATGGCACCACTGCATGTGAATGGCAGGGTAGGAAGTAAGGCCCGGTGTCGAGTTTATCGCCCTTCATGGAGCCTTTCTGGGTTTTGTGTCCCAGATAAGAACAGCGCTCGGGAACACGCTGGATCGGGAGCCACAAAGCCAGCGAGGATGAGGGACAGAGGGCATGGGACTCTAATGGACGGGAGAGCTAGGAGGCGGCCATCCTGGGTGACCTGGGGTTCAGGAAACAAGGACAGCAGTGTCTGAGGACAGGGTCACCATGGAAACGGTGCCTTGGAGCTCATGCAGGACTCCGGAGGTGGACACAGCAAAGGCAGGACTTTGAGCTGAGCTGGGAGCGCCCACTCACGGCATCAGGACGCACTTCCAGAGCGATGAGGGAGGCCTGAGAGCAGAGCCACGCCGGGCGACAAGCTGAGAACAGGCACGGAGGAGAAGGACAGGGAGGGGACGAGTCCCGTCCCGGGAGCGGGGAGGACTGGCCAGGATGAGGGCCCCTGGGAGCCGAGAGGGCGCGGAGAACCCTAAGCACCTCGGGTCCCTGTGCAGTCAGAGCTCCTGTTCGGACTGAAGCTGGGGTGACGCACTTCTGAGGTTTGCCTTGTTCTCCTCCTCTTCAGAGACCTTCAGTGCAGAGCCTGAGGTTGACTGCAGGGCCCCAGAGCCACCCACTCTTTGGAATCCCTTTAAAGACCACAGGGAGCCCCGGGGACCAGAGCCACGCCAGCCCAAGGGACGTGTCCTAGAACCCCTCGTTTCGTTTCTCTTGCTGTCCTTGGTGAGGGGTCATTGGCCAGACTCCAGGATCAGTAAACGGGGCTGGAGAAGAGCTCAGCACCTTCTCCCCCGCCTGCATCCTGTCCGCATCTTCCTGTCCCTGGCCCTGGGGTCACAGTGCGTCCCAGGAGGAGTCTGCTGGGGCCCGGGCTGCGTGTACTCGGCTTCAGGGCGCTCCTTCCCGTGCCCTGGTGCCTTCTTTGGCACCTCGCTGCTGCTCTGAAAAGATGGTAAGGAAGAGACCCACAGTGTCTAACTGGACGCTCTGGGGAGGGCAGGCCGCCTCGCGGGTGTGAGAGAGGCCACACGCTGCTTAGCCTTCAGTTTCCGGAAACGCTGGCAGCAGCTTGGCCCCGGGTCTCGGCTGCTCGGGGAGACTTTGCATCCTGGGAGTCGGCAGTGTCCCCTCCACGGCCTGCAGGAGGGAAGCCGCCCAGTCAGCAGTGTCCCCTCAGTTGGACGCCTGCTGGCGCCCGCCTTCACAGGACAAGTGGCATGGTTTCTGGGGCTTTTTAAAAGGCAGGAAAACATAGATAGAATAAGATTGAAACACGGAGAGTCCCAAGTTTGGGGGTAGGGGTGGAGTTTCACTTCGTATTCTATTTTGTATTAAGTCTGAAAGTTCTGTAAAAAATGTTGTAGGCTTTGTTATTTTGGCAGGTAAAATAGGTAAGTTATTATAATCTTGCATGCACATTTTGAATTTTCCGTAATATGAACGCACTTATACATTCTGGTCATTTACATCATTTCTTTTTTATTTTCTGTGCACATTCTTTGTTCGTTTTAAAAAATCTGATAGTGGGCCTTTTACTTGAATGTGTAGGGTGTTTTAAGAATAATAAAGCCTTTCGTTCCAGGTTTTAAACGCTCTATGTTGTTCTTCGTAAACCTGCCTTTTATTTTAGGGCATTCTCGCGGGCATTTCTTTCTAACGCCCGCGCGAGGAGGTGTAACCCGCTTCTCCCTCACAGTGTGTGCCTCGGGTCTGCAGTGCCCTGTTGTCCACTCCTGCGAACCTCCAGGAAGGCCTCCCCTGCCCGGAGGGGCTCAGACCCACTTTCCTCTCCCACCGGGCCACACCCAGTCTCCCTGCACCTGCCAGGCTGGGCCTTGCTCACGGGGCTCCTCCCATCCCGGGCCCCAGCACCCCAGGAAGCTCTCGGGGTCGCCTAAGTGGGCTCAGGGCCCCTCACTCCGCTCCCCTTACCCCGCTCAGTGGCACTGGCTTCAGTACTGTTTTCTGCCTCAGGAAATCTCCCTCTCCGCTCCAGCACTTCAGGCTCCCTTCTGAGCTGCTCCAATGCATTTCTTCATTAGTTTTTCCTCTCCTCTGTCAGACCATGACGATACTTTGTACTTCCTCCTTCCATGGTGAATTTAATATTCAACTAGTGTTTATTGATGTTTCCATCCGCGACACGCAGCAGTGCTGGTTACTGCGATGGGTCGGAGCTTATTTCTGGGGGAGTCGGCACAACTTGACTCTGCTGTGTGGCCCCCTAGGTCTCGCTGAGGATGCTGAATACCCGCGGGTGTGTGTGAGCGGCACAGGGCCGCCGTCGTTCCGGAGACATCGGGAGAGTCACAGCGCTCAGGTAGGGCCCGCGCGTCCCCATTCCCTCAGGCAGGGTCTTCTTCCTCCGCAGCTGCAGAACCTGGCTGTTCCCACTCCGCCCTGAGGCCCTCCGACTCAACCTTCTTCTCTGCTGACTCCATTTCTGCTGTTTCAAAAAGATAATGTCCAACACAACCGAAATTTATCAAAGGCTTTGAATTGATTATTGCAGACATAATATATGTAGTGGTTTTGAGTTGCTGTCGGGTGACAGTGGTGACGTAAAGCCTGCAGAGGATGTTAATGTGTTTTCTGCATTTGACCTCAGCTGAGAAAGAAGACCGGAAGTGACCACAACAGGGAAATAAACCTCGAAGTGCCTCTGAGCCCCTCACACCTTCATTTCATTGCAGAGAGAGCCTGGGCAGGGAGCGCTCGGGTCAAATGAGGGTATGGGTCGCAGAGTCTTCCTGTGTGCATGGACATCGTGTCTATCTCATTGTGTTTATTTGGCCTCTGAAATTTCACCAAAGCAAAGGAGATTACTCAAGAGAAAAAGGGACACGATTGTTATGGTTTATATCTAGATGTGCCCCCAAGCCCGGACTGGGCGAAGGCTGCTATCTTTTTGGGCAGAGCAGTCTACAGATGAGTTTACAGGGAGGAGGTGGGTCCAGTTGGAAGAGGTGGCCACCGGGGGCTGGACCAGTCCCTCTCCCTCCCTAGCTCCTCCCTCCACTGTCCACTTCTGGCAGCGTGAGGTGAGCAGCTGTCCTTCACCGGCCCCCACTAGGCCGCTCTGCTGGGCCTGGCCAATCATGTACGACCTGAAACCAAAATGGACCCCTCCGCCTCTGAGCTGCAGGCGTTGGGTGTTCTGTCCCAGTGAGGAGAAACTCACTAATACACTAGTATTTTTCATAGAAAGAGAAAGAATTTCTGTAATAGAATTTTGTGTTCTTTTCTTTGTATGCTGTATTTTTTTATTTCATTAGTACATGTGTGTAGTACAAGGAGGTTATATTCGTCTTAAGGAGTAGGGACATGTGCATAACACAGCTTGATTCTTTTTTAATCCCCTTCCTACCCATCTCCCTCCCTCAGTCTGTAAATCCCCTTCCCCATTTCCATTCTTATCAGTATTATTTTGAGTTCATGTTTATGACATGTAACACTTGCATTCCTCGTGGGTGTTGGTCCATGTAAGTGCTGCATCTTCAGTCTTTCTACTTCCCTTTTCTTTCCCCACCTCCCCTCACCCTCATTCTCCTGGACCCCTTCCCATTTGCAAAAGATCTCTCTCCTTGTTTCCTTCTATCGTTGCTGTACTTTAAAAAAATCCTCTTTTGATTACCTCTAAAAGGATAATATGCTTCATTCTAGGAGATGCACAAACCACCAATTATAAACACTTTATTATCAATACATTAAATATTATTGCTTTGGCAATAAAATTCTTGTATGGCATTAGAGCACAATTTTATTATGTCATACATCGACATGAAAATACCTTTAAAACTCAGCTAAGAATACAAATGTTTGCACAAAATCAACCCATCAGCATACGATAGCTTCCATTGGAATATTTGGAATTATGTCAGCATGGCCACATTATCAGCTGAGATTTTTCTAAACAACATTGATGAGGTAGTGAGAAAAATCAATAATTTTAATCTTAAAAATAAATCTCACAGTAGGCAATCTGCTGAAGTCACTGGCCCTGATATATTGGCACAGAAAGAGGAGGAGAGTACCGATTGGTGTAATAACAGATCGTCCTAATCTCCTGTCTGTTCCTTGGGGTTGCCACTGCCCTGTGGCTCACAGGGGAAAGGGGCCATTTGGAAAGGGGGTTGTAGGACAGGCATCTCTGGAACAGCTCATGGATTTGTCTAAGAAGCAAAGAGAGAAGGGCGAAGCCACCAGGAATAGTGCCTGTTTCCGGGTTTCCAAGGGATTTGCTTTCAAACCCAGACATCCCTGAGGAAGCGGAAGTCACCTTATAATACTTCTTCCCGGAAGGAAATGGTAAACCATGCTCCTTTCTTCCCCATGCAAATCGTAGGTGCTCAAGAGCTGGGACAGACTGCTCACACACACACACACACACACACACCCGCCCCGCCCCGCCCCGGAAGCTGAGTTATGTGGCTGATTTGATGGTCTTGTGCAGGTCTTCCAGAATGTGCCTGTGCTGTAACCTTTGGGAGGCAGCACGGACCCAGAAAGGGGGGCTGCATTCTGGATCCCTCTGATACAGGTACAGCACAGCAGCGATTCTGTAAAATCTGCCCTGGACCCAGGGCAGGGTTGGCTCCTCCCAGGGAAATCAAATACTGCGTGAGCCAGAGGCAGAATCCCTCTCTGAGAATGTCTGCGCCTTAATTAGCGTCATTGGCGATTTTAATGCCTTCCCTTTGAGGAAGATACAATGTCTGTGGAGAGGGCTGGAGGCGGCTGGCCTAGGAGCGTGTGGGAAGTGCACTGAGTCCGGCAGGAATAGATGGCACGTGCTTCTGAAAATGAACTAACTATAGCCCATTGACAGGCGTGGACAAGCCATTTAGTTAAAGAATTTTTGGTTCAAAGATAAAAGTTAAATTTCTTCCCCACCACAGTGAAAGTGAAGGGGAAGGAGCATCTCCCTCCCTCCCTTCCTCTCTCCTCTCCTCTGACAGCTCCCTAGATCTCTGGGGGCTCGGTGAGTCTATTTACCATGCGAAGGGTAAATACCATGTGGGGACGGGGGCATAACAGGAAAGGATGTGGAGAATCCACGTGGCCCTTGGGAGACCTCTGCAGCAGGGTGGGGCTCTCCCCCAGTGGAGTGGAGTGGAATATCCAAGTATGAGGGCTGCCCACTGCCATCTTCAGACAGTCCCTCTCCGTGCCATAAATCTTTGCCTCCCATAAAGCCACTCCACCCCTAGCTAGAGACACCCAGAGTTCATTGCTGCTGCTTGCAAATAAGAATTTTGACTGACACACTAATTTAATTGCTATCATCCATAAAATCCATTTTACATCCATCCGCAAGTGTGTTTTTTTACACTAAGTCTACAAGCTCTTTATTGGTTCTTAATATAGATGAAAAACCCTTTCTAATAGAGACCCAGCCTAAGATACAAAATATAGAAAATGTGGTTTATATTGTGTTCCGTCATAATTATTTATTAATTTGCAAAATATAATGGCTTGATATAAAAGAAGTAAAAATTAATTTCACTGAAATTAGTTGAATACACTGAAAGCTGAGACATGAGCTCTGTCTTGGAAGTGTCTGTGTCGATTTGCACTTCGTACAGAAGCCTGGTTTGTCCACCCTGGGACCATGTGAAACATTCATGACCTCTTGGAGCCCTGGTGTGAACGGGACAGGGAGGACAGGCTGGGACGGCTTGGGCCCCACACCCTGGCCCTGGAGGGGAGGTTGGTGGACTGACTCGAATGTGGAGTTTCACAGCTTAGGAAGCCTTTCAAAGAGGCTTTGGAATTAGCATTTACAGTGATACAGCCTTCATATACTTAGGTTTTATGAGACTCGGATGGTTTTCTTAAAGTGTGTGTGCCTGGCAGGGTGCAGTCCTAGACTTAGGGGAGTCATTGCAGTGCTGCTGTCTTCCAGCTGGGAATCACCACAGACTCTCCTGACCAGAGGGCCTGGCACATTATAAACAGAGCAGGTTGGACCCCAGGTGAGGGATGGGGTGCAGACAGGTTGCAGCGGAAGGGTGTCAAAGGGGAGGCACGCACAAGTGAAGCCCCACCCTGACCTGGGCATGAACATCACTGCAAGGGCATCTGCTGAGGGCTCCATGCTGGCCCTGGAGTGGGGGGTTCTCTGCCCTCCCTCTGAGATGGCTTCTTTCTGTTTACTTTATCTTTCAGCCTTACCCACTTTCTTTTTACTTCTTTATTCCTCCTAGCTGCCTGCTTCCACAGTAATATTATGTGCTTTATAAATTTTTATTTTCATGATGGCCATTTATTCTATTTCTTACCAAATTGAAAAACATTTCTTTGGGTTTTTCTAAAGAACAGAAGTTATCCAGGTTTGACTGCACATGCACATTCTTGGCATCCTGGAAGTCTGAGGCAGGAGGATTGTAAATTGGCATTTGGTCCTAGCAACTTAGCAAGACCCTGTCAACCCTCAGTAACACACACACACACACACACACACACACACACACACTCCAGACCTTATGAACATTGGTCATATTCAAATATTCATCTCAACAAATCATTGTCGGTCCTTGGTAAAGTAGTGGTAGTGGTCCAGCGCCCAAGAGTTTAATAAATATCAAGCCTGCTTCTGACACAGCTGCCAATGAAACCCAGAACGGAAACAATATATGATTGATCCTCATCAAGAAGTAAACTGTTATGTGGCTTCTTTTAATGAACCATGGAAGAAACCAGTTTGCAATGCCATAGATCAGCAGAGCTAAGTTCTCCAAAGTACCACGCACCTCCCATACCTGCTCTCTATGTTCGTTTTATTTTTCCTGTGGACTGCTCAAAATTATTATGTAGCATGGAATAAAACAAACTGTGTATGTGGAATAAGGACATACAGGCACTTAGTTTAATCATTAAGAATGATTCTAAAGCACATGCCAGAGAACAGAATTAGAGAATCTTTCCAACAGGATCTCTCTGCTTATCAGTCCACTTGTCTGTCTGAGATATGATCAGGAGGAGACCAAGCAAGAAAGCGCTTTCAGGGAATCAGTATTCACTGCATGACTCACGGGTTATGGGCAAGAAATGAAGACAGTAAATTAACTTGACGGCACTCATGAAGCGCGGCTCTCTCCACAGGGGAAGGGCATGTCCTGTACAGATAAGTAGAAGTGTGGAAAATAAAAAGAAAACCCTATATTTTGTATTTTCCCTTCATAAAATGCAGCAGATGTAAATCCTCCATGTTTATAAATACGTGGTGTCTTCTCGCTGGGACACTGACTGTTTATTATCAATGAGGAAGCACAACTGTGGGGAATTGGCAGTCAGGCATCCAAGCAGTGGCTGGGTCTG